TTTCCATCTTCGAAGAACTCGGCATCAAGCAACGTCTATTTACATTAACACAATCGCGCATCCTTACCTTCTTTGGTCACGTCTCTTCTCTGGTGATGATCATAAAAAAACATCTATTCAAAACAGACACACTGTGCGTGATCATCCACGGGCACTAGACCCTGTGGGTGATCATCCACGGGCACTAGACCCTGTGGGTGATCATTCACGGGGTCTAGTACGACGCATCCATTTAGCGGCTTGTCATACAGTGTAGAGTTGACTAGACCCTGTGGATGATCATCCACGGACACTAGACCCCGTAGGTGATCATCCACGGACACTAAACCATGTGGGTGATCATCCACGGGCACCAGACCCTGTGCGTGATCATCCACGGGCACTAGACCCTGTGGGTGATCATCCACGGGCACTAGACCCTGTGGGTGATCATCCACGGGCACTAGACCCTGTGTGTGATCATCCACGGACAAAAATGACATTTCCATGTGGGTGATCATTCACGGGGTCTTTTACCGTCAACACATATATTTATATATGTTCTACAACGTAAAAAATAAGTCAAAACGGTATCTGTGTCCACTTCATTTAGTGTATCAGAAAAACAGCCAGTAGGGAAAAATGGCGAGTTGTCGTGATAACAGGAGCGGTGGTGAGAGTAAACACACACAGTAGGGTGTAACTTATATATTATCTGTTACATATTTTGAATTATATAAGCTTAGACTAATTACATAAACTATATATATTAGCAACTGCGTCGTTAGATAAAACGTACACTGGCACAATCTACTATCGAACGTGCTAATTTGCATCACTATATCACATCGTAAGGCGGATGAAATCTGCCTCTCACTCCACTACATAATGACCACGACCATTCTGTCAAGAGTGTATCGAATAATGGGAGGAACATATTTAGATAGATAGGAATTATTATTCGTATTTTATGCTTCGTTACAAATATAATAATAATTATTGTAATAATAATAAAATAGAAAAATTAGAATTAGAAAATTCCTGACTTCCCCAATAAAGTCTTCACATGACTCAACCTCTCCCACACTTGGCTAAAGCTTGTGTGGGTGAGTATTACCTTCTAACTGATGAGATGAACTTAGGAGAGAAAAGAAAAGATAATAAATAATAATAATATTGTTTATTCGGATTTTTATCCATAGTGTTAGTTACAACTTCTTAAAATCGAATGTTAATAAAACAAATACTAGACAACAAACAGGGACACAATACTTAGATAATCTAAAATAATCATTGTCATCAACGTTATTAATAATAATAATATATAATATCTCAGGACAATTCTCACAAAGCCATCTAGTCCCAAGCTAAGCAGAGCTTGTGTTATAGGTACTAGACATCTGATATAAATACACGGATACATTTTTTTTTTGTAAATACATACATCTTGTACATAGAAACCACCCAGACCGATACAAACAATCATACTCAGGAATACAAATGTTTGTACCATGCGAGAGATCGAACCCACGACCATCGGATAGTAAAGCGGTGTGCTAAACCACCGGTACATACAGGCTGCCATCAATACATAGTATAAAGCAAATGTAAATGTATGTATGCTTAAATCTTTAAAACTACGCAACGGATTTTGAAGCGATTTTTTTAATAGATAGAAGAAGTACAATATTTTATAAGAATGTCTGCAGAAGACAGCCATTTTGTCGTTAATTTTCCCGGGCAAAAGTAATGCGCCACAGATGCACAAATGTTGCACGGTGCACAGATGCAGTATGACTACGAGAGCGTCATGGCAGTATGCGTGATATTATTACTATGAGTATTAACAGTGTGCGAAATTTCATACTCTTCCATGCAATTTTTATAAAAAGGGGTACAAAGTTTATACGTCACGTATCGCATATAACGTATTTATATAATGATTATTATCTACATATGTACACTAGATTGGAAAGTAATTTATATTATATTATATTTTAATACACAAACGTTTAAAGGGCTTTTTAATATATTTTAGTCATTATATTATATTTTTTAAGCTTTTTAATTTTAGATTCTTAGTTGTACAATTAGGTTATGTAAATAAATACAGAATTCCTTACGTTAACAATGGATAACAATTCAGGCAATTTCTGTTTCGGTCCGTCTCGACTGGGACGCGGCCCGTCATTCCTGAAATTCAGGGCAGAACGCATTACTAAAATGGTATACGCTGCTCGTTATGACTACAATGGGAACGTATTTGAATATTTTTAGTTTGTCATAGTATGGAATTTATTTAGTAGTTTTGTCATTTTTTGCACCACTCAATATCACATATGCCACTGTTTTAGATTGTCTGGAAGATCTCTTCTAGGACTAAGTCCACGTTTGCTCACATTGTCTTTAAATTATATTATTAATGCAACAAAGAATATATATAATAGTAACTGATTTAAATAAAATTTGGTACACAGATACATCGTATAGACACTAAGAAAGGACATAGGCTCCTTTTTAGTGCCAAAAAGGATTGTAAGGGGTTGAAAGAGTAGCTGAAAGATTGTATGAAAGTATCGTGATTTTTTAAGTAGAACGATAAAACTACTTTTTGGGTTATACTCGAACTAAATATATCTTCTTCATTAGTTCACTACGTGGATGAAGTCGCGGGCACAGAGCACAAAAAAAAAACGAATAATCAAATCTTGTCCCTGACCGGTAGCGAACTCTGAAGAAGGGCGAGCACAATAGATCTCTGTAGGTAGTGCTACAGGTCCAAGCACCTGACGGTAGCCCAAACAAACAAATAAAAAAAACTAGCGGTTGAAATAGTTGAGAATGCACGCTACGACTTTGAGCAAAGTCCACATTGGTAATATATGCTTATAATTGCTTATACAATTATTTATTCGTGACGTTATGAAACTAGGAATATATTGTAAATATTTACATACCTACATATATACACTGTATAAATTTCAAATGATTGTGACGATGAAATCCGAAATTAAAAGTCTGGTCACAAAATAATTGACATAACGTTATATAAGAGTTTAGGAGAAAATAACTAAAATATAATATATGTAACAAAACGTAATGTTTCTCAAAGAGAGCATGCATAGTTTCATACAAAAAAGTGTTCCAAGTGAGGCAGAGTTTGCAAACAAAACGTTTAAAATTATTAATTAAATATTAATAATGTCTTGATTGATTTATAATGAGGATTACAGAATTAATATTTGTACTCTGGAAACAGCAGAATATGATGAAACATATATTATATATAATTACCACCATTGTACATACCATATTCTGACAAATAAATATATTATTATTATATCTGCAAAGAAATATTAAAAAATGCCATTCTAAAACATTTCCTGATATCACAGTTTAAAATAAAAAAATATTATGTGTCAAATGAGGGGAACAAATTTGAAATAAGAACTAAAAGCGCATTATTTGATTATTCGTATTTTTAAATTTGGCGGAAAACGAATCGACTCGAGCATTGATTTAAAAAAGGAGTGAATTTATTCATTCATTCATTATTCGAAATAAAAATTTGGCGGGATTCGAATTAAACTCGAAACATTGATTGGAAAAAAGAATAGTTAATTTTATATTATTTACTAAACTAGCCGCCGATAGCGTTCCGTAGAGTCGAAACTATTTGGCACCCAATCAATTTAGCCGGATTGAGATATTGCATTCTTGCAAATGCCGACCTGACTAAACCAGCTAGTCTCAGTTGCTAATCTGATAAATTGGCCCGACCCAACCGATCTAGTGATAAAACGTAGCAAGGGTAAAGTCAAATTGAAATATTAATTTTCTTGCTCTCTTTACGAAATTCAATTTTTCTTATCCTTATTAATAAATACCAATAATATAAATTCTGAAGCGTGTCTATCTGTCTGTATGTTATAACTGCTGCACGCACTTAGTTGTGTGCATCACTTTTTTTCTTAAAAAAAGCATAGTTAGCAGAAGAAAATGACCCGTAGGTATTATAATATATATAGCAGCGCAGAGCAAGGTTTATATATGTAATAACATATCTGTGTTATAGTACATAACGAGCCGAGAAATTTAAACATTGATAGCAGAAATAGTGAAAGATTGAGATGAGTAATTAAGAACTAGGAGAAGGAGTATAAAGCAGGAGATTAGAAGAAGTTATATTTTTTTGTAAATATACAAATAATATGTATATTATTTATGTATTTACAAAAAAATGTATGTATTTGTTGCAGTTGTCTAGTACATAAGCTCTTCTTAGCTTGCCAAGCTAAATGGCGCTGTGTGAATTGTCCTGAGATGTTCTTCTTCTACTATTTTTATACTCTTTGATATATCAAAGTGTGAAACGATGATTTGTACCTATATGTATATACTATTGGAATTATATGCTAGAGTTGCTGGTCAGGAAGTCATTTTGTAGATAAATATTTTCTAATGGGCATAAATAAAAACACATTTGGGCCAAATATTTATTTATAGACAATACTAATCGACATATTTGTACATTCATTGTTACACTATACATATTAGTAAAACTGTATAACATTTATTGTAATATTTAAAATATATGTGGTAAGTTTGTTTATTACAATATTTTATTACTTTCTTTCAATTAACGAAAATAGTTGGTAAGGAAAGGACGACACAGCCTAGTTAAAATTAAAAACATTTTTTTATACAGGATCTTTCAGCGTCTTATAAAAGGTTATTCTTATAATAAAGAGAAAACATCTTTAGAGGAAGTTTGAGATTTTTAAGATCAAGGGGTATACATGCGAATTTTTAAAATCTATAACTCATGGTCTTCTATCACATTCTTTTAAATAAAGAAGATAAAATGAGGGAAAAGGACAAACTAATTCAAAAGTTAAAATTGGTTTAATAATATCAAATATATGAGTTTTATGTTTTTATACATTAAGAGGTATATATTACTCCATAACAATATCGTCTAGATCTTAACTGTTATAACATGTGTCTCTACTAGTTTTATACTAAATTCTTCCAATATCCTTTTTCATCCATTCTTCTTTATTATATATAACTTTATTAATAATATTCACAACATCCTCATTTTCCGTTACACTAACATTCTCATCCAATATATGAACGTTTACTCTATCACTGAATTTACCCAAACCAAATTTCTCTTTAGAAACACTTAGAGGATTCTCTTTTGTCTTTATTAGAACTATTGGAGAATCCAGTTTCTTAATCTTTGTAGTATTATTAAATATGACTTTTACATACTCAAAACCTAATTGTGCTGTTGATGCTATGTATTGTTTAGAATATGCAGCTTGTAAATATGTTGTATTGATACTATATTGAATCCTCTTGTTAAAATCTTCTATATCATTAAGATTTTCAATTAGTGCTTCTGTAATGCCATTGCTTGGAGCAAAGAAATCTATAGACTTGCAAATAATGGTATTCTGAAGTTTAAAGTCATCACTAATATATTTCTGAGAAGCGAGTTCGAACAGGAAATTTGGGATTCCGTCCAAACAGAATATAGTTCCTTTGTGACCTAAAGAGAGAATGTTAGATTAAGACTTATTAATTGACAGTCATAAATGGTACATGAATTTATAAATTACAATGATCGACATAATGACCATTTTCATAATTACTATTATGGTACATAATGTTAGAACAAAAATGATGGTAAGTCATTACCACCGCCCATGAGCACTCACAACACCAGGCGAATCGCAAGTGCGTTGCCGGCCTTTTAAGACGGAATAAGCCCTTTTCTTCCAGGTTGTAATATCATATCGATTCGGAAATAGCATTACTGTGTCGTTACAAAACAATTAAAAAAATCGCACGGTGGAGGACCACTATTCATCTATATGATCACGATGGTATTTTTATACATGGATGGTGGTTACCATTTTCCATCATGGCCTGTCTGCCATGTTTATATGCCCTTGCATTTTTATAAAAAGAATATCAAATAATTCAAGAGCATCAAGGAGCAATTTAGTTTGTTTAATATAAAGATACACCAGATGGCTGATATAAATCTTACCTCGATTCTCTAGTTTCCAGGCTAATTTCAACGCAAGTAGGGTGCCAAAACTGTATCCAAGGAGCCAAAAGTTGGCACCAGATGTTAGATGAGATATCGCTAACTAGAACAGAAATATTTGTCTATGCATGTTTTTTATCCTGGACAATCTCACAACACCATCTAAATCTAAGTTAATTGAAGTTTCTGTTACGGATACTAAACAACTAATATATTTATTACTTTTTAGTACATACATTGACGGGTAGCATTTACCATCAGATGGGTCCGCCTGCTTGTTTGTCATTCCAAATAGATAAAAATACGGTACGGTATGTTCTTTTTCCAGTAATATCATTACATAGTATAAAACAAAGTCGTTGTCGCTGTCTGTCCGTCCCTATCCAAGCTTAAATCTTTAAAACTATACAACGGATTTTGAATTGTTTATAGATAGAGTGATTCAAGAGGAAGGTTTACATGTAGTATACATGTACACTCGGGCGAAGCCGGGGCGAGTAGCTAATACTTGATATATTATATTAAATATACTAGAGATCTATTATCTATTATTAATGTTGCCACACTCCACCATAATGTCACGCAACAATAAAATTAAAAATAACGTGAATGGACGATAAGGTTAATTAATATGTATTTAAAATACATAAACATAAATTAAAAGTAAATTATATCAAAACTGAAGTACATAAAACACGACATACCAATTCTTAGATCGAGGAATATAAATTTTCAAACTTTAAGAACACGACTTTCGGAAATACTATTACTACAAATATCATTATTACGCATGCTAAAATCCTGCAATATTCTTACCTGATACAGCACATCCACTATTTGCTCCCAGTTTTCGTTATGTTCTCCATTTTCTAGTTTCAATACACAAACTTTAATTTTCAGTCTACGGCTGAGTTTCATTGTAGAATTGGCATCTAAACCTGGCAGTACAAACATTATGTCCATTTCGTTATGGTTCTCTTTTTCTCTCTTAAAGAAATATATTTAGAAATTAGGTACTTGTATATGATTTGTCCATGGATATTATTATTATGGTAAGAGACGAACAGTTCTACCGTCTTTAATTGCTATCACAGATACATTTAAAAAAAAATAACTCACTTTAATTCCATTTGCGTCCTTTTCAACCATTTTTTCCACGCCGTTTTTTATTACGGGTTCAGTATTGACACCAGTTTTATTGATATCATTAGAAAGTGCTTCTGAGATTTTATCTAATCTGAAAGAATTAATTTAAGATGTTGATTTAGAAAAAATATCGTGTTTAACACTTTTTATTATTTTACGATGTTTGTAGTTTTTATTTATACAAAGTAACAACATCTAAGGTTGTACAACAATAGTTTAAAAAAAACCGTAGCCAATTTTGAATAAATCTTCGAATGTGGTGGTAATATCAAAGAATGATGATTCAAAAGTGTCACAGAGTATTTAGATTATTAAAATAAAATTAGCTATATCAAACCCAATGTCAGAAAATTTCAAAATCATTACCTTGTGAAAGACATTGATCTAATTTCTTGAACAGCAAGGAAGATTTCAAACTCGAATTCAAGGGTGTTTTTGATGTTAAGAGCAGTCATACTGTCAATTCCTAATTCCGCTAGGGGTATTTGTCGGGACATAGTTTGCATGTTTTTAATACCTAGAAAAACATTAGACATGGGTAAGAAATTTAATTGAATTCCTTGCCAGTTCTTCTCAATTGAATACTGAACTGAACGGTAGGGAAAAAACTATAATACAAAAAATTTTATATTCATAAACGGCTAAAATGTACACGAATAAATGGTATTTGAATTTGAGTTTGTAACTACACTAAACTAATTTGCGTAATTCAAGATCATAATTACTTTGTACTTAATACTATTGTGTATATATATGTATATATGTATTAGTATATAAAATTTCTTGTATATAAATGTATATTATTATTATTATTCATATGTAGTATTGCTATGCCATTTTTTTTCTCTAGTCCCTTCATGCGCTTTCTACTACCATTTTGTGTCTTCACTCCTCTACCCAAAGGTTATCTGGAAGAATTACTTCTGTTTATGTTCTTTGTAATTTACTTCTGGTACAATACAGAATAAATAAATAAACTCAAAATTGCTTCACGAAAAAGAAAAATGATTTAGAATCGACTGTGTATTAAGAATGCATGACATTGTATAATGATAATATTCAACCTGATCACTGTTGTTCCAGATGAGATAATCAGAGGCATTGTCATATTCATGGTCATTCATTATAGGTTAAGAGGTATGACATCTTGGTCATCTGGAATGCCAATGTATGAATTGTATCATGGGTGTCACGTGATAATGTGATGAGTTGTTGAGCATGATGAGCATGTACTACTACTATACCGTTGTTGTGTAATTAAATATATGTATATACCATATAATTTAGCATTCGATTGGTGGGGCCAATCTTTGAGATTAACATTGATTTAACTATATACACGAATTCTGTTCTGATACTTTTCTAGTATTATAGAATCACGTAATTTAATGATTTCCAAATGTGATTTTCCTCATTGACCCGACCAATCGAGTGTCAAAATGTAAAATGAAAACTCTTTAAAAAAATAATTCGTACCAATTATTTGAGATACTGCAGTTGTGACAGTTCGTATTTCTGTTTCTACAGCTTGTTTCTTAGGTACAACCATTGAAGATACAATTGTATTGTCTTGTTTCAACATCTTATCCAGATGTAACAGACATGATGCAATACTTTGTTGTAATATACCTCCTACTTCTAACTTTTTGTCATCCTGCTGCATTTCAGCAAGCACGCCTACCTATAGCATGTAAAATGAACTTAGTGGCTTAGTGATCATTGCCTTGCCTTTACATATTATATTTTATTTTTTCACAAATTCCTTTCTGTTCTCATATATTCTGTAAACCTCATTGTTAATAAATATAATAAAAAGGACAGAGCTCTTAAAAAATACTTAACTAGAGAAATTAACTTCTTTTTATACGTTTTGTCGGTAAATTGACATTTTTCAATTTGTTATTCAAGTTCTAAGGTTTAATTGTGATTATCATCACTACAAAATATAAGAATTTAAATATTAAGTACCGATAGTAGATAGACGATGCATTGTTAATCGTTTTTTATTCGTTTAATATCATATAAATCATGTGGCAATATTGTTGTTATAAACAGAGACTTCTTAATCGAAAAGAATCTGATAAAATTATTTACATCTGCAATGGCACACCACTGAATAGTAAGAGCAGGCAATCCGACTTTCCTTCTGATTTCACAGATTCTTTCCATCACAGAATTGGAGTAACCATAGTTGGTCTGTCCAGTGTTGCCGTGACCGCACGAAAGTGATGAAAACAACACAAAGTACCTGATGGATAAAAAAATATTTCATAGAACGGCTTTTTACGCTATAATTTAACTAAGATAGGCTTTGTATAAAGATGTTTACTTAGGTATATTTATCTCTATTATTTTTGTCGTCAAACTGGTGCTGTGTTCCGGTTTGGAAGTAGGAAAGAATATTATCATGGCATGCCTTGATACAACATAGCATTATATAAGCCCTATCTCGATTAACTTATAGTACAAATAAATCGTAAAAGAGATTCAGGAATAGCAGTATCTGAATCATAAAATGCATTATCATGTCATAGGTCCTGGTGGTGTATATATGTGGTTGTTCCATGAAGTAAGACCTCAGAAAACAATTTCAATATCTGTATTGAATTTTTTTCTTGTGCATTAAAAACTTGAAGATGTATAAATATTTAGTCCAAATACTTACTTCAGCGTTGGACATAGTTTTCTTGACAGTTTATCCAAATGCATTGTCGCTAGACCTTTGGGTCTAAATGATATTTTAAATGTTTCTGGTGTTTGATTTTGAAATATAGAATCCTTTAGAACAACAGCAAGATTGAAGATGGATTCAACGGTGCCCATTGTGTTGGCCATTTTCAACATTTCCTCGCAACCAGATTCCGTTGTGATATCATGAGTAGAAATTCGCACGTCAACGCCATTAGTTGTCCAAACCCTAATAAAAATGTAGCCAATAATATAATAATTTCTTGGCCTTAATTTAATATATCTATTTGCAAATCATCCACCGTTTCCTACAATTGTATCTCTTATTCTAAGATTGCCTGGAAAATTGATAAAATACTTCATAATTATAGCTTACCGTATTCTATAAAATTGGTAACCATTACTGATTCCTCGGCGAGAAATGAGTAGAATCTTCCTGGCGCCTCTTGATATGAACCAGTCGGCCAGTTCTAGACCTATTCCTCCTAAACCGCCTACGATTATCTGCACTTGATCCTCTCGACACCAATACCTGGTAAAATTTAGATGTCTGTATCAAGAAGTTGCTCCATTGCTAATAATACATCATGTTGGGTCCACAATTTTGTTTTGTTATGACTACAAAGTGTGTATTGATAAATATACTAAGCGATGAAAGTAAAAATGAATTTACTATAGTCATTGTTCTTGTCAATTTGAGAAGAAATTACAGTTATACTGTCTGATATTTTCACCAGGATCATCCTTAACCGCCATTAGACGTAGTCTATTAAAATTTACGCACTAAATTACCAATTTTTCAGGCAAGTTTTTTTGTTCAATTCGTATTTCTTTCTGTTTAGTAAGAAAAAATATACAAATTGATCACGGCGTTCTTAAGTTCGTGAGACTAATTAATATTTTATACGTACAAATAAAAATATTTACTGTTACCTGGGAATTGCGTCAATGGGTGAATATTTGGGCTGCACTGGTTGATTAGTAAGCTCCTCGTCTCTGATTTTAATTATTATCTGTTACAAAAATGCAAAGCCTGAGGACCTAAAGAATTTTAATAAATATTTTTGATACCCCTATTAAAAGGCTTCAACTGTTTTAATAAAATTTTAATAAAGAAATATTTACATTTGATAGTGACTATATCCCGAGTTTTAAGTCTTTATTGGTTAGCCTGTTATATTTAAACAATAGTAATTTTTATGTTTTAGAACTACTATATCACTAGTATTACGTCTTTATCAGTTAGATATGTTGCAGAAGGGCCATCTATAGTAATATTACGAATGTGAAAATGTCTATTTGTCTGTTTGTTATATTTTCACGATTAAACGGCTAAAGGGTAACATCCCTTTAGCCGTTTAAATTTTGATATGAAGATATGAGCTAGTACGAAGAAGACCATAGGCAATCTTTAATTCCAAAAAAATCTAGGACGGGTGAAATAGGAGGTGAAAGTTCATGGTGACGAAGATAAGCAGTACTTGTACCAGAAGTGCCCGTAAACTTGTATGAGAGTAGATAGAACAAAGTGGCTTAGTAGTGATAATGGAAAGCCAAGAGGCTCTCCATTATCACTACCTACTCAAATATGACATAGGCGTGATGATATATGTTATGTGATTTTTATTTTTATAGCAAGATTTAAGATTGTGGCGTAACTGATGGTTGATTGAATATTGTTATTGTTTGATGAAGAGATTACCACTGTCCATGAGCATTCATAACACCAAGGGTGTCCATGAGCATCCATAACACTCATAACTACATAATAATCTTATTAATTGTTTAACCAGTTGTTGTGTACTGAATGTTTTTTCTATTTTATTATTTCATTGAATTAGTGCTAATCGGTGGTTTGTATTCACACACTTAAACTTAAATTATAAGTAAGAATAAATTATTTAAAAGAGCAACACACAAGTTTCTTGCTTGTTCTTCTTGTGATGAGACAGCATTCCGAATGAGCGGTAGATTAAAAAAAAAATGTTATGACAATTCAAAAGTGCTTCAATGAAAGTTTATTTGAATAAATGATTTTCTATTCTATTCTATAAGAAGCCAGCCTTTTAAGGAGGAATATGCAATTTTTTTGAAGGTTCAATACAGAAAAAATATCTCTATACTTCCAAATTACTTACCTGTCCTATCTGTTTATTATCGGCCAAATAATGAAATGCACTTTCTATTTCATCTTTTTCGAAAATACAGTACGTCAAGGGGCGAACGGCTCTAATCTCAATTCCAGATAGAATAAGTTCCTGTAGTCTCTGTTGGAAGAAGGAAGAATTAAAAGTTATTGCGTACTTACTACTAATCAAATATGAAATGATAAATTTATCTTTTCATTGCACACTCACACGCTCTAACCTATATATAACCACATATAGAAAAGAAAGATTAAAAAAAATCAATCGAGTTCCTTACCAGTTTTCTTAATTTAATATGTACATATAGTGAACTGGGCGGTAGGAAAAAATATTAATACAAAATACTTAAACAATTTTGCGACACAAATATATCGCTAGCTAAATAATAAATGGAATTAATAATTAGAAAATTAATGAGATAATGCATTCTATTGTACAGCGTACGATAAGTATAGAAAAAATCATACTCTCAGACATCTGTACGTACTATATTTACTCTTTAGTGATCAACGCTAAAATCTATTTTATTTTACTTGTTCTACTTAGGTCTCAGTTTTTCATGAAAAAAACAAAAGGAAAAAGGTAATATATTTAAAAACTGAAAAATAATATATAAATTAACGCAAAATTTTAGATAGAATGTAAGCAAAAGTTGATTTAACTCTATAATAGACTACTAGATAACCTACAGATACAGATATAAGAAGTTGAAGTAATAAGTTACAATAGAAAAGAAATATCCGAAACTAACGATGTAAGTTTACAAAATAAAAATAAAAATACTAACCGTTTTCAAATCAATTGACTCGTGCAAAGCAAAGTCCAGAGTAATGCCGTGGAAAGAGGTCTCCTTTGGCAAATACATGTTGATGGATGTATTACTATTGAAGTTGCCAATCTCGAGGAACCTGCCACGATAACCCAGACATTTGATGGAAGCCTAATGGATGATGCCAATTTTTTTATAAATACATAAAACAAACATATTTTCAGGATTATCATCCCAGACGGGGTAGTCAAAGACATAGTCAATGTCGATGTTGTGCATATTTTGGATCTATATTTTACACGGCATATTTGTATTTAGTGTAAAATAAGCGAGTCTACTGCCATTTTTTTTGCAGTCAAATCCAAATCCGGACAGGGTTTGAATATCTTGGGCGTAAGTCAGGGTAGTAAACCGGTAAATGTAGATTATGGCAGTATAAATAATATTAATATTTTTTTATTAAGATAACACAACACTGGTAAGATATATTTAGTATACAGAAGCTATTACAGGGTAAAAAAAAATATAATACTATTGTTTTAGCAACAATTTCCTAACTTATTGAAATAAAAATATGGAAAAACCCTTCATTTTAAAAATTACACTATATTTGTTTTATTACAGAATATTTCATTTTAAATTGCTTTCAATACTCTTAACTGTAGGATTTTTTATGATCAGAAAAATTCTCTGCAGCCATTAATAAAAAAAACAACTTTAGTTTTACCTGAAGCTTATCGCCTTTAAGCGAATTCATCACTATATTAACTCCTTTTCCATTGGTCTCTTTACAAATTAGGTTTTCAAATGATGTATTTTTAGAATTTCCGATATGGGTGTCTGTTGATAGTTCAAATAAATAATACTGTTGATTATATTTGTATCATAAACATATTTATAAAGATTATGTATCACATTATATTTCGCACAATTTCTTCAATTATCTTTTTAAATTAAAGTATGTGTTGTGCTGCGGGCAAGTCGTCCAATTATCAAACACCTTATGATCCTCCAAAACACTCCGATAACTCTGTATGGGTTCGTAGAAAACATCCAAAACTTTATTTACTTACCTTTTAGTTGTGGGAATAATCTTTTTAGAAATGTTTCCTTTTCAGAACTCCCCACAGTTGTGAAAACCTCGCAACCGTAGCTGAGGGCGATATTGATAGTTGCTTGTCCTACACCGCTTGTTCCATCGTGAATAAGGACTGAATCAGAACGCTTAATTTGTCCTACTATTACCTAAGCATAAATAATTAAGTATTTTATTTTAATAAATTTGAATACAATATGTCGCATAAACTAGAAATTACTAAACAAATTGGTTATGATAAGTATAAAACTTACCAGAGCATAATAAGCAGTTGCATAAGCCACAGGCACTGTAGCAGCTTCTTCAAAGGTCCATTCCTCAGGAACACTCCAAGTAATTAATTTATTGCATTCTACCATGTTAGTTATAGCTGAGTTTTTTGCTATACTCATCACTCGGGAACCACTGTTAAAGATATTACGTTAATATTTGAAATTTAGATAACTGGGTAATAAAAGCCACATTATTTTATGAGTACCATAGCCTATAACATTGCACCAAATTTTAATATACGGGGAGAATATGACGCAGAAGAAATTGCGCGGCTAATTACATACAATCTATAAAAAATTTAAGTTAATTAACTGAAATTTTAATACGGAAATAGTTATTAATATATTGCATCGAACTAACTTTGAGGTACGTCCAACAACATCTCTTACTGGTTTGCATTCTTTTGTAACTCTGTTATAAGAGGCAGTAACATTTGAATTGCGGCCAGTTGCAGTTAAGACGTCATGGAGATTAATTGCTGTACAGTAGACCTATTGAAATAAACGTAAAGATTTTACTACTAGTAACTAATTTTTAATATAAATAATAGGTAAATATGTTTTAATAAAATATTAAACGGCGATTCTCAAATATATCTCTATTCATGGCAGGTCTTTAGAGGTAGATAGATAGAAAAGTATATCTGATTGATATCTACCCTTATAAATAATTTTTATTTCATTTGTACTAGCTCTGCTTTCGGAGGATCATGATTGCTTGATAGCCAAGTAATATATTACAAAAGCTTATTAATATTCATCATAATAATTAATATTACCTTTCCCGGTACTAGTATTTGCTGTAACGAAATTTAATTGTCTAATAACGTATGTTATTATGTACTACCATAGACATAGCATTATGCGTAATGACGTTGTTAATAACGTTAATGAATAATACGAATATTTCTCTAACAAAGGAACTTATTTTTAAAATAGTAGCTTGATCAGAAACGTTGAGATGATTGTTGATTTTTTAAATAAGAATATTTAAATCATTAGGAATTAGTTTCAAAATTAATCGTACATATTCAGCAGAGATGAATATATACTATTTACTACTTACTTGTAATAGTACATTATTTATGTTTTTGGAAAATTTATCTTTTTTTAAGGCTCCTTCGACCCATGCCATTGAGGAAAGATTTCCTATTGAGAAAGTATGAACAAACGCATGGTCAACAGCAACGGTGGTGTCTTCGAGTAGCAAATGACGATATGTTCCCCATTGTCCCTGTAATTTATTAATACATATATGTGTACGGATTGTCTCGGCAAACGTCGTTTTGTCATTTTATATAGCTATTAAAAATAAAGGTTGATGGTAAAAGTGCGAAAATTTTGGGTTGTATGATTTTTCATTCATATAGTAATATAAGTTATTGATAACAACCTATCATCAGACCGAACGAGTGTACATATAAAATTTCATTAAAATTGGTTTAGTCGCTTCGGAGAATTATGGCAACTAACAATGTGACAGGAAAAATTATATATTTTAGAGAAGATATCACATTTCGTTACACACAGTTACTTTGTTACTATACAATAATGTTTAGATATTGAATATGCACTGTACCTAAAATTAATATTTGATATCTACGTTACTTACGTTTTGATAAACATTGACAGCTAAATTTTTATCTAATTGTTCTTTGTAGAACTCCAAATTAGGATTGAATTTAGGAGCCATAGGATCAGAAATCATTAAACATGAAATAATGTCGCCACTTTGTTCTTTCCTTAAACAATTCACGAGACCTAAAAGACCATTCACTTCTTCATATTGCGTGTAAAGAACAACTTTCTTAGCAATCTTCACTTCTTGTTGTACCCTTTTTATCCAGGGAAAGGTTTCGTCATTGACATTTCCAATTTTGATGAACTTAGTCGTACGAGATACTTCCCGTTGTCTTAAGAGTACTAAATACTCTTTTCCAATGGATTGAACAGCAATAATATCAAATTCTAAGTGTTCTTTAACATTGGGATATTTCATTTCTCTACTTATAATAAAGGATTTAGCTCGGAGAGTAGCAACAGCACTGGTTAATACCTATGAAATAATATTGATTACCAAAGATAAGTGCTGAAGATATTTTAATATTATTTCAATGCATATTTTAAAATACTATACACGAGTGGTTATGAGATTCATCACAGTCCTCATTTAACTAAGTACGTAGGTACCTGTTTTAATATGGCTACGATTTCATAACGAAAAATAAGTTGAATGATGTTAGTCGTTGTCTACACATTGTTACAAAAAAGTAGTCACAAAAAATAAGCAGACTTATAAAACTGAACATATTTCACCAAGAAACAAAGCAGAAATCTGAAAATACATATGTATTTTCAGATTTCTGCATTGTTTCTTGGTTTTTCTTTGTTTCTTTCTGCATTGTTTAAGATATATATCTAAAACATTTTATAGTAAAGTGATTATGTGACCGTAAATTGCATCAAGATTTTAAAATTCATACTTCATCACTTCTTCTTTGGGGAAGTTGTTTAGTTTCAAGAATATTATCGCTTCTCTGTTTATCCTTTTCGAATTTTCCTGTATGTACTATTTTGTAATTGAAATGGTAAACATGCTGACGGTCAATTGAAGGTGAGTGGCAAAGTTCGTACATATATGAACAGCACAATCATTCCTTGCCATTCCAGAGGACTAAGAGTCATGCCTGTTGTATTATAATCTGCACCTTACAACTGAAACACACTTTACAAAACAAACTACTTGGCAGCTATAATAGGTGAGACTGAGGTACCCACGCAGAACTTATGAACCCACGACTTTTTGCAGTCTAGAAGAATTAAAGATGTTTATAATTAAAATTTTACTTACAGGTGGTCTGTTCAATAAATTTGCTCCAACAAACAAAACAACATTATTAAGTCCTTTTAAATCATCGATTACCGTGATTGTTTTTTCTGGTGTTTCTATTTTTTCTTTTGATATTAGCAGCAATTCAGCTTGTACAAAGACAAGTTTATTTAAAACTTTACCAATATGTCCTATTATAGGTTTAAGAATATAATCCTTGTATTCTTTGTCCACAGTCTCAACAACTTTAAATTTATATGCTTGTATGTTTTCAATAATTATTTGCATATACGCTCGTAGGCAATCGTCCAGCTAAAATGAAATATAAGATTGTATATTTTTATGTATCGATAATATAACAAGTGACAGTTTATATAGGAACTCCGTGATTTAGTAGCACTACTCCGGAGATTACAAAGAGATTGACCTGGATTCGAATTTGGCTGATACAACAATAACTTTGTGTCAATTTATGTTATTGACTGAGTTTGCAAAATGCCAAATTAATATAAGAGAAGGCGATAGACTCATCCTTTCTTACATCGATTTCAAATATGCTGTTGAATTAGCCACTATTTTATATATCGATAGCCTATCGACAGAGTCGGTGGTCTAGTGGTTTACCACACCGCTTTACTATCCGATGGTCGCGGGTTCGATTCCTCGCACGATACAAACATTTGTATTCATGAGTATGATTGTTTGTATCGATCTGGGTGTTTTCTATGTATAATATGTATGTATTTACGAAAAATAAAAATTATCTATGTACTTGTACCAGTTATCCAGTACCCATAACACAAGCTTTAGCTAGCTTAACTTGGGACTAGATAGCGCTGTGTGAATTGTCCTGAGATATTATTATTATATATATCCTTCTGACTACTTCATTTTATTTGACACTTATGAAGTTATACAGTTATATTTTAACTATTATTATTGATTACAATATTACTCAGATTTAATTTAATTATTTACCTTCATTTCAATTCTTCCAAAATTTGAGACAAAAACGTATCTGTCTAAGACAGGGACATCTATTACTGCCTGCCTTGGAACTGACGCAGTATGTAACCCACGAATTTCTACGCCACCTGATCTAAATTGTAGATTTAGACTTAATGTATATATATATATATGAATTCACACCTTAATAAAGTTAAAATAAAATTTAAATGACTTATGGTCGAACTTTGGTCACTGGGCTACTAGCCATTACATACCTACTATATAACTATATACTATATAGCAGAGATTAAGTGCGTAGCGGTTTCTATGTTGATTGTCGCATGCCTAATCCTTGTTGTTAATTAAATATAAGTAAATCAATATTTATTTAAAAGAGCAACATATAAGTTTCTTGCTTATTCTTCTTGTGATGAATCTGCATTCCGAATAAGCGGTACAATAAAAAAACTTGACTATTCAAAAGTGCTTGCATTAAGTTTATTTGAATAAAGATTATTTCTATTTCTATATATATACTAACATTGGATTAGCTAAAAATATATATTTTCTTTTTAAATTAGATTTTATATCAACAATTTTATTTTAGAGTGGATTTTCGAATATCAGTATTTTCTGTACTAGGTGTGTATATAAAGTTTAAATACCTGATAATGTTAAGAAAAGAGTAAAGTCTCCCGTCCAACGATTGCCTCTGAATATGTGGATTATTTGTTGACAAAATACTATAGTGTTCTTGAACATCTATGGATAGTTCCTCAATTCTCTTAACAACGTATAGATTGCGTGTGTCCTGACTGAAGAGTTGAAGTTGCAGTACGGAGTCCAGATATGTAATCCAATTCTTATCCCATACAAGACGTGCATGAGTCTTGTCGACGTTGGTTTCAATCACTCCGCGGAATAATCCCCTGCAGTACAATAAAAATAGAATTTGAACAAACTCAGAAATGTAATAATACGTTAAGCTAAACGAACAATTCTATCTTAATGTGCGGATGTATTCTATATTATGTATGTATTTAAGCATTTATATCAGTTGTCTAGTATCTATAACCCAAGTTCTGCTTAGTTTGGGACTAGATGGCGCTGTGTGAATTGTCCTATTTATTAATTATTAGTTCAATAGATAGAAATGTATGTGATTTTTGAAACTAACGAATATAGTTAAATAGCTTTGGACGATCACGAGCTTATTTCATGTTGTATGTAAAAAAAGCATTAATAGAATGTAAAAATCAACTGTAAGTGAATACAATAGAGCCTACATTTAAATGTTACATTAGTACGAACCGAGCTGGACTCACCTTGCCGTAACACAGTTTTTAGTCAAAACTAGCACGGAGGGTAGTTTTCTTTCTTTGGTACTGGTACAACCGTATGCTTAGTTCAATCATACTTGCTAAAAATACCCCGGTATTTACTTAATTACTACATTCAAATGTTTTCATTGTACATTATAATACCGATCGTAGTATATACTTACCTATAGTACATATTAAAGCATTTATAATAAAAAAAAAATAGCATCATTATATTACCTGTACTGATATCCTCTAAGTTTCATTTCTTTATAGAAATCCTTAGTGTTCATAATATGCTTGTCAGTTTCGGAGGTCTCAATTAGCGCTGGTAACTTAAGATATTTCTTCTCCACATCTTCTTGTTTACGTATAAGGCCAGTAACAACAGATGTCCCGCTTTCAACTATCTGGAAGATATTTTATATGTTATTCAAGTGCCAAACTAGGGAAAGACCATCTTATGTTTATTACCAACCATATTCAAATAGCCTATATACATGGACAACTCCGTGTACATAACGTCATGACGTGACGTCAGAGGTACCACTTATGCTTTGCTAATTTGGATTAAGGTGTAATTTCGATGCCATATATACTATACCATTATCAAAACTTATGTTCATTTTAATATTAATATTACAATTATGTAATATTAAAAATATTATGTACGGAAATTTACAAAAATTACATTATGTGATATTATATAGACACTTAAATAGATTCTATTTGTGTTGTAATTTTTTATATTTATATAGAAAAATATACTCAATGAACGGATATTTATTAGGTCAAGAAGTAAAGTAAAAACTTTTAGTAAATTCACTTCATTACATAAAAATTTTAAATAAAATTAAAAAATATAGAACTATGAATCTAAATTCAAATTCAGAACATATTATTCATTAGCCAGATAACATAAAAATATTCTTCAGGGTGAGCACAGCCCATCCGTTACAGCGGACTCGCACTGTAATGGAATGTAAACTGTAACTGTTTTTGTAATTTGCGATAAATTCGCGTCATTATTTCGAATTCACCCAATTCATTCAAGTCTTCTTCTGGGTGAGTACGGCGTGTTGTTCATTACAGCGGAGTTATATTTTCTTTAATTCTGCATTAGCATGTGCGAGATCACACATATTCAGTGCGGACAATTGTACATCCCTTCTGGTAGCGTTCCGACCTACAGGTGATCAAATTCCGACCGTTATTGAATCTATATCCGTGCTATAAAGCTCGGATATAGCTTGAAAGCCTAGTGTTGACTATTCGCCGACCAAACTGGGATATAGTTCATTAATGTAATCCATTAGGTAATGGAATGGATTTCCGGAAAATAACACCTAATTCTATAAAATATGTTCAAAGTTGTGTCGCAAGTTCTAACTTAGACAGACTTATAAATTAATAAAGTTTATTTCTGCCACACAATCATACCAAGCTCTCTATTTATTACTGACCTCAAATTGCCCGCTTCCTTTTTGTATTGAAATAATGAATTCCAATTTCCCCTTTTTGGGAATCTCAGTATCTCTGTGGAAGCAAACATTTTCAAATACCACAGACACTTGAGTGTACAGTCTTCCAATCATCATACTCAATGTCTCCCAAACTAGGAACAAGTAGCCGGCTTCCGGATAGACATTACGGTCTGAATGGGCAAAACATCCAAAATGAAAATTTTATTATTATGTTGTTTCTCGTAACAATAATAATCCTAGACAATTCACATAGCGCCCTATTCTCAAACTAGCCCAGAGTTTGTAATGTGACTTCTAATTTAATAGAAATACTTAAATACCTTTTTTATAAAGTATACGTAGAGAAAACTAAGACCAATACAAACAATTATAGTCTTAAATACAAAGTTTTGTACATTGCGAGGAATTGAACCTGTGAAAGATGAAAGTAAGATGTCCTAAACTGCCACCGAGGGTGTCTGTAGCTAGAATAGTAAATAAGCATAGCCTATTTATAGAAAATGATAACAGTTGCTTATAAATAATTACAAAGCATATTGCAGTACCCGTGGTACACCCCATGAATTGCCATTCCCGTGGCGTCACGATTTTGTTCTCGGTAATTTCAATGCCATAATGATACTTCAGTATAAAACTTTACCACACATTTATCTAAGTAATTCTCGAAGCTCTGAAGAAATAAGAATGAAAACACAGGCCTCTTATTGGTGGTTATCACTGGGGTAGTAGTGGTATTGCAGCAAAAAAACATACACATTAAATATATTCCGAATTATATATTGAATTTCGTTCTTTAAAATCTTACCATTAACAACGTAACCGGCCATGTAGTCGTCATTACTATAGTTAATGGACATCCTGACTATGCGTTCTCCCACATTTATCTTTTCTTGAATATCAAATTTGGTCACGTACCTAGGAATTTGTCACACTTTAGATAAATTAAAAAATTACATAGTCAAAGTTCCGTTATACATAGTTGAATACTTCATCAAATCTAACTAAGAATTAAATGAATTAAGATAAAATATGGTAGAATACTATCACATTGATTGAAACAAAAGATAGTCGAGTACTATCACATTGATGGAAATAAAAGATAGTAGAGTACTATCACATTGATTGAGAAGAATGATGGTAAAATATTATTAAATTGATTGACACAAATGATAATTGAACACTATTGAATTAAGTAAGAAATATAGTTGAACACTATCATATTGTTTAAGACTAAAGATAATAGAGTACAATCACATTGATTGAGACAAAAGATCACGATAATGGACATCCCGTTAACATGTAATACTCGTAGTACATTTCATGTATTGCCATTCTGGAGAACTAAAATTTTATGCATTTTATACTGTAGTTTTACTGCCTTATCTCACCGTACAACCAAACTATGGTTTCCAAATTAAACGGCTTGGTGGCAGAACAAGGTGAGACTGAGGTACCCAAACCGAAGATTTATTATAAAATCATTGAAATCCTATAAGAGTATATATTAATTTGCTAGTTACCAATCCTCACTATGGTCCCATTCTACCAGATGAGATAAAAACGGCGTGCCTTGTGATACCGGAAGTGGAACATGCGGATAGATGTTAGCTAGTTGCAAGTTCAAACCAGTTTCGTATAATCTGTAAAATGTAAATAAATAAGACATTAAGTAAAACTATTTTATATGTACATATAAAAAGTGCCTTTAAAAAAAATTAATAATACCGATCGGTCTGTCTTTGATGAATTAAAAAATAGGTTTAATAAAACGAAATTAATTTCAGAGTATCGTAAGAGTTTTAACATAATGTTTTCTCTTATTAGGGTAATTTCCTTATTTAGACTAATATTTATTATACTTCTGTTACATGAAAGTATTCTTTGGACAGTCTCATATAATTATTTCTAAATCATAGATTGCCGTAAGTTTTGGAACTTTACTTACTTTTTATTAATAATTTCCTAGTGACCTCATCCTAAAACCTATTATTTAATTTGCTATTTTAATTATGAAATATATATGTTACATAGGAGAGAGGGAAGGGGGGGGGGGGGGGGGGGGGGGGGGGGGGGGGTGTATGCATTTTAGAAAAGATAGTATTATTAATTATTTACAAAAGGTAGTATTAATTGAATAAATTCCTTCTTTTTTATACTACAACTGTGGTAAACAAGTTTTGAAACGTAATAATAATGAGAATAATGTTTTTTCGTGGCCTGAACGCGGTTTATTTATTGTTATTTGATTGCCATTAAAACGGACCATGTTATATTAATTTGTCATACAGTTTTAAAATAACTAATTACAGTACGAAAATACAAGTATGAGTACGATTTAAATGAAATAACACTATAATGTTAATTAAGAGATTTTTTGAAAACTCTTATCGTATTACAATTGTAATAGATTGATGATTGATGACCTCAGTGATCTAGCGGTTTAGCACACCGCTTTACTACCGATGGTCACGGCTTCGATTCCTAACACGACACCTTTATATTCATGACTATGATTGTTTGTAAATATCATAATCATAATCGGTTTGGATGTTTTCTATGCATATTATATATGTATTTATGTATGGTAAGTATTTGTATCAGTTATCTACACTCGCGAGCAACCAAATCGACTCAAGCATCAAAAAGGCCTGCAACGGGCCCCAAATTGACTGCAGGCCACCGGCAAGCTCGGCTACAATTTGCTCGCAGTCAATTTGAGTGTAGTACCCATAACACAAGTTCTGCTTACTTTTAGACTAGATGGCGCTGTGTGGAATATTATTATGTTGTGGATTATTATTCTTGATGAATATTATACATTTAATACTAAGGCATTTTATACTCACTTTCCAAGTGCTGTAAATAGCACTTGTACATTATCATCCGTATTGTTTTTGCTTAGTGATATATGATCGATGTTATTATTTAGAGACTGCTGCGATATAACTTGTAGTATATCATGTGGAACCATTTCAATGAAGATAGCGTCTTCTTGAATTAAGTGAGAATAGTTTTCGATGAAAACTGGATTCTGTAAATTAGTATTGTCTAATAAAGGTATTTATACAATATGCCATTAGGAAGCTTGAAATCTTTATATATTGTACAACAAAGTTAAAATATAAACAAATGATAAAATACTGGAATTCACTGCAGAAGAATTTAAGTAGACGAAATATTTTTTTATAAAATAATATAATCTTTTAATTAGTATTGCTTATTAGTTTTAGCAACCTAACAGTCTTTTTAATGCTATTATATTATTTTTAAACTTAATTTTAAATATGATATGATATTTTATCCTCTGCAATGGCAACACATGAGTGGTATCATGGGTGTAAGATGGCAATATGATGTCCGTAGTGTTACAGGCTGCCAGTTTGCCATTCCGAGTATATAAAAAACGAAAATAATCAACAAAATCATACCAGTATACTGTTGCTGTGGTATTCAGCAGAGGAATATTTTGAATTGATATTATTCCATTGAGATTCCGGGGTCGAAGTGGAGATCCAACGTTTTGAACGAGTTTTCGGTGAACGAATAACTTTATTCAGATACTTGCGTAGATTAGGGCCTGTAAATGTCACAGCATTGATAGTTCACTTCCACGGGGTTACCTTTTACCATCAGTTATTATAAAATTCCATTAATAAAATGTCATTTTTTTATTCTACTCATTCGCAACGCAAATTCATTACAACAAGAAAGCATGTTGAGTGTTGCTCTTTTAAATAAATGTTTATCAGCATCACATTTTTCAGATTTTATGTGAATACAAACTGCCAAATAGCAAAATTGACACTATTTACTATTAAATAAGCAACAATAACTAATTTCTGACGAGTAAACTATTAATTTTTTGAAGTATTTTGTATTATGAAATGTAACATATATATAAAGAAATATAATATATATAACCAGCATGAGCAATATATCGCGAGTGATACGCAATGTCGCAGCATATTTCCTTAGCATACAATTTCTGAGCTGAAACCTCTTCTATGAAGTTTGTTATGATATTAGACGGTCCTGACACGACGCTGTAGTTAGGGTTTATCCGATAAACCACGTCAATATCATCTGGACACGTTGGGTTAATCTGTCGAAATAGGAACTATAAGTGTCAGACAACATAATAGACTTTAAAGTTAACGTTCAATTTTCTAGAGTTAAACTTAGATTTAGCCTAAATATTCGCATGTATATCTCCCATAGGAATAGTCAGAGACAAAAGAACGGAAAAGGCCTCTCTTCATGTAACACATAACTTTTATTATTTAAGTGGTAGAGCATCCTGTATGACTACAAATGTTTTTACAACACTAATGGCAGCATTTACACGTACGCTCTTTCACGCTTTCACGCAAGAAAGAATGTGCATGTAGAGACAAAGAAAACAAGAAAGAACACGTGCATTCCCGTGTTCTTCATCGTGTGTAAAGCACACATTTGTAATAATTAATACTCATTGTAAAATGGCGGATATCTATAGAACAAAAATATGAACATAAAGTAATTGATAATTTATAAATCTAACGTATTTTCTAATAATAGTAGATTATAATAAAGCAGGCGGAATACAAATTAAAATTTTAAGAGAAAGTGTAATCACTCTCTAAAGAGTAAATCTAAAACATAAACAAAAGAATTCACGATTATGTACTTGTTTTCCCGCGCTAAATAGCACACGTTCTTGATCGCACGTGATAGAACGAATAAAGGAAGGCTCGTTTCAATCGTGAAATACACAGTATATACACAATATTCTATTCAAAATTCAAAAAATTCAAAAATCATTTATTCATGTAGGACATTTTAGCCGCTTATGAACGTCAAATTTTTACATTCTAATTTTATTACTATGGTATATCACATATTAGACCAGTTTATCACAATGTATATTTATATAGGTGTCTATGTCTAACATTAAATAATGTATAGGCGTCATTCAAGTAATCGTTTAGTGAGTAATAGGCTTTGCTCAGTAAATATGACGTTATTCCACACGATCATCCTCATTTCTCCTATCTATATTGAAATGGTGACAATTAACATGAATAGTTTATTAATTTGCTTACCATTTCGTAACCAATGCCAATAGCAGCCATAGATCCTTTTATGAGGTTAGCTTCAGTTAGTGCGAGTCCTTGGCTATAAGCTGCTAAGATTGTCTCCTCTGCTGTAAGACAGCCGTCTGTATATGCACATCCCAACTCACCGACGCCAAATCCTATAACATATTTTATATGTTAATTTGTGGCTTTGGTGTCCTAGTGGTTTAGCACACTGCCATAATTCCGATAGTCGCGGGTTCCTTGCAAGGTACAAACATTTGTATTCATTAGTATGATTTTTTGTATTAGTAATTATATTTACAAATACAGTATCTCAATGTACAAAATGTATGCCATAGCCAGTATTTTATCTCTATATGATATAAATATTAATTTAAAAACTTACCAATGACAAAGTCAGGTTCGACACCAATGGCTTTTAAAACATCAGTGAGACCAATCTGAAATGCTGTGACTCTAATAAATGAGTTTAGGATATTATAAGCAGCAGTATTTAGTTCTGTAATTATATTTTTAAAGTTGATGCCTTTTGGTACTAATGCGTTGTGACATCTAGAAATATAAAAAATGAATATAAATTAATAAATTGAAATTAAAATAACAATTAAGTTGGTAACGCTATTACGTTCAGTGTGAACTGAATAATAAGTGTGTGATAGCTTGTTGTCTTATTTAACAGAAATAGATTCCGTCTAAGGAGTGTTCCGTACCGAGTGTATCTCCTCAAATTCATTTCTCCTTACAGTCGCCATTTTCTTCAAGTCTTTCACGTATAGTACTGCGAGCTGCATAGATCTATTGTGCTCACCCTATTTCAACGTTGGCTACCAATCCGTCAGGGACAAGAATTGAAGGATAATCTTAGGGCCGCATTACTCCACCACAATTGTTTCAAAAAGAAATTGTGGGAATTTGGAATTTGGAATGAAATTTTGTTAATTCCAGTAGCGCATTGGGGACAAACGAACTTGCTTTTCACCCAATGATAAGTAATTATCGCCGCCCATGAGCCGGCCTTTTAAGTAGGAATAAGCTTAAAAGTTTTAATATCGTATTGGATCAGAAATACCATTGCTGGAAGGTGATTCCACAATATGGTTGTACGTGGCAAAAATATTCTGGAAAAACGCACGGACCGCCACTCATCCAGATGATCAGGAGGAGGAAAATAGGCTGTCTCTTAATTGAAACAATTAGTAAATAATAAGATGGCTTTACCTCTCTATAGCAGCAGAGAATATTGGGATCCTAAGGAGTTGTTGCATCATGACTTTCCACTTCGAACTTACATCTGAGTACACGAAGCAGATGGGCCGTTTATTACCATTAAACTCTTGTATGCTACGAGATAGTAGTATGCTTTTGGTGGGTGTTGATCCTAGAAGTAAGTCAGGTTACACTGAATTTCAATTTCCATCAATTATCTAAATTTTTATCGGGTCCTAATCATAATTGTATGGTCAATATAGGTATTTAGCTCAATCGACGTAAGACTTGGTTAACAATATAAATAATATGTGTAATAAAACATACGAAAGTTTCCAAAAAATCCATTAAATATCATTATTTTTAATATAATTCGTATGGCAAACATGTTGACGGCTCACCTGATGGTATGAGATAATCATCGCTTATAAACATGAATAGCACTACGGACATCACGTTTTTGACACCCGCGATACCACTCATAAGTGGTATCACGGATATTTAATGATGACGTGATATCCGTAGTACTGTTCATGTATAATGCCAGCTTCTTTGCCATTCCCATTACATACAAAAAGTAAATGCTCACCTAATAACACGAATCCTCTATATTTGTGACTATGAATATCCTTATTATGTACAGCGTGTAATAGTTTGATTTCATCCACATCCACTGGCTTGTACTGCAGATGGTCAAGTATTCTGGCCACAGATGACTCGGTACGTCCGGATACGCACACTAAGCGAGGTAAGTCATCTTCTGGAAGGCCGTTGTTGACCTGGCGAGTTTTAACAAATAATAGTATATTTAATAATGATGATTTTATTACGTGATATAAGGGCAGTGGCTTGATCAACGTGAGGAAGGAAAGCGTTGGACTGAGGAACTTGGAGTCTATTGGTGGAGGTAGTGAAATAGCAATTAACAAGAATAACATTAACTTAACAGTATAAAGGTTATAAATAAAATCAATCAATATGTAAAGTAAATACTTACAACCTTTTTTGTGTACATAAATAGAAAATACCTGGAAATTCGAAGAATCTTATCGAACCTGGGACTATTGGCAGTCATGCGATGTTGAACCGTTGGATCTCCAAGGCTAATATATATATATATGACTTTAACAAAAATGAGCAGCATTACAGACATCACATTATCCTATGACACCCGTAATACCACTCATGCCATTCAGGATTAAGATGTCATACCTTTTATCCTCTAATTTCAAAATTACTTACTTTTTCTCGAGCCACGTTTTTCAAAAGTGCATGAGCGTTCGCTCCACCAAAACCGGTGTTCTTAATTCCAACCAACCCCCTGTTCCAGGGTTGCTTTTCCGTTACAATCCGTATACGACCATTAACAAATGAAGGAATGTCTTCACGAGGAGTCTTGAAATGTAGATTTGGTGGAATGAAACCAGTATTGTATGCGATACATATCTAGAATAAAGATATAAATAATAATAATCCAGGACAATTGACTGACCCACCTGCGCTAACGGTTTGCGCTGGCAGAGCACTAATAGAGGATGATAGGATGAGGTCAGGTCAGTTAGCACATTATGAGAAATTTACCAGAAATGTATCACGATGGTTTACAAGGGCAATCGAGTCAAGTCGACTAATAAATATACCATCAATAGCAATTTGAGTTAGTAAATCACTACACGACGACTAAAACGTCACCACGTTCTCAAACTTTCTGTTCAATTATATTGGAAATTTACCTTAGCAATAGAACAAATTCCGCTAACACTTTCAGTATGACCTATGTTGCTCTTGATAGACCCGGCATATATTGGTTCCGTACGCCCGGTGCAGAATATTTCATCAATTGTGATCGCCTCTTCCAAATCACCAACACGTGTTCCTGAAGACAAAAATGTAAAATATTTTGATGCTGTAAAATATTTAAAGTGTTTATTTACAGATTTTACATTTGCAGTTGATTCAAAGCCTGTAGTGAGCCAAGACATTGTACCAGCATGTACTTATAATATTTCATTCATCAAATTTTTTAAAGAGAGATGAAATAAATTTATATATTTTACAATCAATTATTATTATCATCAGCCTACTGCTGTCCAATGCTGAATATAGGCCATTGTAAAATCAATGCGGACTGGTTTTGCATTGAATTTAAGTTTTGTAGAGATGTAAAGAAATGAACGGATGCCGAGTGTTGGCAAAAATAATAATAGCCTTCGGGCACTACGAAACTAAGAGCAGCGAAATATACGAAACGATGTTGAGGCTCGACAAAAAAATTGATTGGAAGTATTAGTTGTATAGTATCCAAAACACCAGCTCTGCTTAACTTGGAATCAGATGGCGCTGAATTTAGTATTGTAAATATAAACGTACCACCACTATGAGCTTCTACGTATTCCAATGTAGAAGGCACGATAGAGCATTCCTCATAGAATTCTCTTAGCAGAATATTCTGCCCTTCAGCGGCTGGATACATAATCCCATTATCTTTGAATCCATCACAATTTGTCTTCACATGTACTAATTGAGCGTGGACCCTATAGACATAAGAATAATAGCAGCAAAAGTTGTGAAAATAAAGCATACAAATAACGCGATATGACCGTCTTTTGTTTATGTTCTTTATAATTTACTTCTACCGCAATAAAGAGTAAATAAATAAATAACTTGGTCAGTGTGACTCGTAATTCTATATATACTTATAATACTGTATAATTTCGAGAACTAATATTAAAAAAAAATGTTATTGCAATAAAAAACAAGCGATACACACTATGAGCTTGTTTTTTCTCCGAAATGCTGTTCGAATTGACATGAATAGTATTACGGAGATCACGCTATCACCTGACACTATTGACACCACTCATGTATTGTCATTCCACAGGTCTAAGATACCATGCCTCTGATCTTATAATCTTATAGTCATTGTTGTTAATCTAAGTGGGGTAGTTAGAGGGCATTTTCAATTATCGACGTCGTGGTGAAGGCAATACTTTACCTGGTCAATATTTTAGGATCAGATTAGGAGGTGATTCTACTGCTGTCTCTCGGATTAGTTTTGTTTTGATATCAATGTTTCTATTATCAGATGCTCAGTTAAAAATATAAATTCACTAAGTTTTTTTTATGCGGACTATTTTTGAAGTAACAACCTTTAAGCTTTTAAGCAAGGTCGTGGGAGTAAACTATGCTAAGGCTATCTTGGCCTCAAATTTCATTATGATACTTTCAACTATTTAATAGTAAAAGGTAACAAAGGGACAGGCAAGCAATTAAGCATATAATTTATGGTATTAATATTAAAGAAGAAGTATATGGACTAAAAGAAATGAAGTTAATATTAAATAGATATAGTACCTTCTAGAGTCCCTTGCTTTTTGCAAAAAGCACACGGTGACAGCTTCAGAGCGAACATAGCCATTGGCGGAATTATCAAAACTTTTGCAACGACTATCAGGAGACAACAAACCGATTCTGTAATCGAGAATCAACATATAAAAAAGGTTAGTTATATAAATATACGCTAAGCTTTACTACCCGGTCGTTCCATTCACGCACCCAATCCTATAAATTCAATTATAGTCATGAGTACTAACATTTGTATTCATGACTATGAATATTTGTATTGGTTTTAATATTTCCTATGTATATACATAATGTATGACATTATCATCTGCTTCTTCCTTATCACTTTTATTTGGTGTCGGCTTAATATGTTTTTCTTTTCCATTCATCTCTGTTCGCAGTCATTGACCCCTGTCAATAACGAGATGACGTTCTTATCATATCATCTTTCACAGAGTCCATCCATCTCTTTTTCATACTTCATCTAATGTATTCATTCTTTTATGTATATTATGTGTGTCTTTACCAAAAATGTATCTATTATTATAATTATAATTCATACAGCAATACATAAATATATATATATATTACCTAGCGATCTGGTGCATCATATGAGGATGAAGACATAAATTAGATCCACCAACAATAGCAGCATGACATTGTCCATTTCGAATAGCTGCAAATGCATGGTCTAGTGCATAAAAGGAACTTGAACAAGCTGAATCCATGTTGTAAGCAGGACCTTGAACCTTGAGCCACCGTGAGATACGGTGAGCAAACATAGCTTTGGAACTCCTGTGGAAGATGAAAAATTAATTGTCGAGATACCCATATCTCTATTATAATAGATAAACGGGATACTGGGATGAATTTTGCAGGAGACAAAACTTTTATTTAATAGTCAACAAGATATATATTTTTTTAATAAATCAATTAATTTTTCTCCCTTAGTCGGCTTACTTTGGCGGGTTATGGGAGTCAGCAACTCGACATAGCAAATTTTATCTTCGTCGTCTTGCGGGTAATTCAGATCTTATTTAGTTGTCAACCTTGCTTTGTAAAATGTGTTTGTTTATGTGGGGTTCTGTTGTAGGGTGCAAATTAGTACTGCAATTACAAAATATGTACATGCTTGTCATCTTAGTCCGTAAATAACAACGCCATAAGTAGTTCCACGAGCCGCATACCATTAGATTTTAAACAAATGTTTCAAGTATTTTAAAATAGTGTGTGAATAGAATCTGCATAATAGCAATGTTGCCTTAAGTAAATAATTAGTTACTTGAGTAACAAAATAAATTAGTCATAGTTATCAGAGCAGACCAGTCCCTACAAGCAGCACCTGTTCATAGATATAGTTGAGCCAGCCATCATCGTGCTCTACTATATAAAAGGTCTTGCACTACCTGTCTGAACATTGAAGTAACCAGTAAATTGAACCATCAACAAATTTTTCTTATTTATTTCATGCAACTTAATGACCAGAGTAATATATATACATATAAATCCACTAACTCTATATAACTTACCCAATAACACCGTAATTGTTGACATGCATTCTGTTGTAGAGCAAACTCGTTTGAGCTTCAGAGACACAAACACCAATAAACACTCCTGTCTTTGTGTTTTCCAGCTCTTTGGGGTTCATACCTAATAATTTAGATTCAATTATAAATATATCGTGTTATGAGGAAAGAAAATTGAAGGTTTTAAAACATGGTGAAATAATAGAAAAGATAACGTGTAAAATATAAGGTAAATAGGTCTTAGATAAACTATTTTGTATCATTATTGAAAAGAAATAAATAAATAAAAATAAAAGAGAAACAAAGGGATACACATACACAAAGAACTAATGAACTTTATAATTGAAGGTAAAGTAGATAAAAAGGGAGCGAAAGACCGAGATACAGTTATAACAGGGAGATTTAAGGAGAAAATTGTGTCAAGATTTAAAGAGAATTTCTGAAAAATAAGGCGCAATAGCTACTTTCAGAAAGGCAAGAGCAAAGCTTCTAAATTGTGAATCAATAAGTTAACATTTGATAATGGACAATCAACGCAATATGTAGTACCTGAACAATAGGCGCTTTGTGTGAAATTAAATCCCGCAACCTTCATTCGACAGACAAATTCTTAATCTTTGCAATACTGTTATTATTATTACTGTGGTGATTAATGAGTTAACTATAACTGATTTGAAACAAAAGGGTACTGCACTAAATGCACAGAATAAAAATTCTATTACCATAATAGATTCTGTGACATCGTAATAATAATTAAAACATTACATTCCTTGCCATCAGGCATTAAGTCCGCATTTATACAATTTTGTGTGCAAAAGAATAAATAAATAAAGTCCTCAAACTACATATATTATAAAATAATAATGCAGATCAGATTATATTGTTATATCCTTACGCTGTACCACGTATAGAGTGTGGGGTAGAAGATAGTATATAACATATACTCACTATCCTTAATATGTGTATTTTCCATTATCATTTTCGATTAAGTAAACAATTAGCTCATTTGTAAATTTTAAAGCAGCAGCTAAAATAGTTTAGAAAGATAGGTACATCGAATATTTGTCTAACCTATTTTAGCTGCCTAGCAGCGCTAATAATAATAAGCAGCTTGCTTTTTAAGGTGTATTTCGGTTATAGACTGAGACTGAGAAGTGTAATTAAGGATAAAAGGAATGACATTTTAGCCCACTGGAATTGCCACGATATAAGTAGCCACGGGTCTTCATATTTTGTCAATCTGCCAATTTTTTTGAAGATATTATTTTCATTAGCATCATCATCTGCTTTTTCTTTATCCTATTTTTTAGAAGTCGGCATAATATGTTTTACTCTTTCATTCTTCCCTATTCGCGTCATCTTGTTATTACTCTCTTTCTCAGGACATCATCTTTTATTGTTTAATTAACCGAAAAAAATGTTTGTATTCGGCACTATTGTAAGAACCACTGTATTTAGGGGCCTCATTGTATTATGCCCCAGGATTAGTGGCGCCATCTTTCTCACATTGTCTTTCTGAAATAAATGTGGTGGCGCACCGGCGGTTGGTAGATAGAAAAGACCTTCTGAAGAAATACTCGATGTAGAACTTACGTGAGTTGAACAAGTAACCACCAATAAGCAGGCTAATTACATCAAAACACTTACCAGCGTCGAAAATAGCTTCATACGCCTTTTCTAGAAGAATCCTGGCCATTGGGTCCATAGCGTGCGCTTCTTTGTAATTGACTTTAAAGAAGGATGCATCAAATTTGTTCAATTTGTTTATCTTTCCACTACAATGGGGTACATCAGTGTTGGCGTACTCCCATCGTCTGTCATCATCCGATATCATATCTACCTGAAGTAGAAGATTATTCTCGGTCAGTCATATAAAACTAAAAATCAGGAATGTTACGTGCACCATAATAATAATATTTTATTCAATTCATAAAGCGCAATCTAGATCCAAGCTTAGGAGAGTTTGTGTTATGGGTACTAGACAATTGATATAAGTACTTAAAAACTTTTTTTTTATATACATATTATATATAAAGAACATCCAAACCGATACAAACAATCATAGTCATGAACCCGCGACCATTAAGAGTAGGGCGATGTCCTATACAGCTAGACTTCTGCCAAACTGAAGAGGAAACGCCGCTTCACATCCTATGTGGTTGTAGCCCACTCGTGCATGAACGAAATATCTCCTTTGGAAAGTTTACACTCTTTCCCGAGGAGATAAAAACGATCGCTCCTAAGAATATCCTTCAATTCTTGTCCCTGACGGGTCTAGGTAGCGAACTTTGAAAAGGGCGAGCACAATAGATCTATGTAGGTCGCAGTGCTACAGGTGCTACACATCTGACAATAGCCCAAACAACCCAATAAAAAAAAAATACAACTAGACCACCAAAACCGTCATTATGTCATAGTGCTGATCACATATGCTATACATACATGTATATATGCACAAAAATTACATAGTTATGAGCACCCGAGCAATATTAAGGCTACAATTTAATAAAGAAGAGTACTATACATATATACCTAGTTAAACAGATATATTGAATAGCATGGAGGGTGGACTCACAGCCCACTATGAGTTATAGATCGTTTTGTCTTCTACATTACTTTAAAGTTTTATTGGTTTTTATGTGAGACAAATAAAGATGTTATTATTATTATTTTTTTTTCCAAAAATTCTCATCTCCCCTCTTAAGGAGAGGAGATGGCAACATACCCCCGGTAGAAGCACAGTCGGTCGGGGTTCAGGGCCCCAGGGAGAGAAACCGGCGTACAATGCGGGCAGAATCTAACAGCACCGCTTTCTGCATCTTTCCCGGGAGTGAGCCGCCCCGGAATCCCAACCGTCTGAGATGTTGTTCCAGACTGGTTGGGATAAGACCGTTCACCGACATAACGATTGGAATGATTTATTATTATTATTATTAATATATACAGAGGTAAGGTATTTACCTTGTTAAATAGATTTTCCTGCAGTTCTATGACGGAGGCGGAGTCTGGAAAACTACCAGATATGCCGGTAATGTAGACCTCTTCACCAGTAGGTGGGTGTGATAGCCGATAACCAGATGAAAAGTCCTTATTATTTGATGACATCTGTATAAAAGAATATAACAATAATAACATTCCCAAATATTTTTCATTTAGTTCCAAACTAAGTAGAGTTTCTATTTTGATACCACAAACAATTGGTATAAATACTAAAATAGATTTTCTTTAAATACATAAGTTTATACTTAGAAAAATTATACACAAACAAACAATCATACTCGTGAAAAAAAATGTTTAAGTATCATTCGAGAAATCAAACCCACGATCATTGGCGCCAATTCTAAGTAGGAGGGAGTTTAATGCCATCTCGCGTATTAATATTTGGTTGGATATCAGTATTTCAGTCATTATTGCATTCGACCATATTGGAGGGAACACATTGACCCGGCCTAATGAAATTGATACAGAATACTAAATTTTAATAAGCAAAGAGAACACTATAAAAATGGAACAAATGCATTCGCTTTTGAATTTGTGAAAAACAAACAAATGATACTCGATTTTTTTTACAACCAGCCAGTACGTCCTCTAGATCAAAATAGTTTACATAAGTATTACCTACTTGGTAAGAAATTATATAATAATTGATTAATAATTTGAAAATGATGAATGATGATGATAATAATTTGAAAAAGTATGTGTTGCTTAGACTTTTTTGATGAATATATTAGTGGTTAAATATCAATAGTTGATCATATCGTTGAAATTACTTCCATAAAAATTCATATCAATATGTTCAAAGCACAATAATGTTATATCAAGACTATAAACCTGTATAATGCAGATTAAGAAATCTAGTTTCAAATATGGAACGTTCCCAATATACATTTTATTAAGTAATTAAAAACGTACTTACTTTTATTTTTCCGTAGCATTATTCCTGTTACTTTGACAAAGGAAAAAAAACTAATCTAGTTTTAAATATGGAACGTTCTAATTTGTGGTACTTAATAAATAATAAAAAAAATACTTGTATTTAATTTTTAGTAGCACAGTTACTGTTACAATGACAAAGAAAGAAAAAAATAGCTTAATTAAAATATGGAACATTCCGAATTTGAAAATATATTAAATTAAATTTACTTACATTTATTTTTTAGTGGCATAATTCATATTACATTGACAAACTAAAAAAAGAACAAATTTAGTTTTAAATATGGAACGTTCAGATTTTAAATCTTACTGAATGTTAAAAATGTACTCATATTAAATTTTTAATGGCACGATACTATTTATTACAATAAACTTTATATATGACTTATTATCATCAAGGAAAAATCTAGTTAAAAATATGGAACATTCCGAATTTGAAATATCTTAAATTAAATTTACTTACATTTATTTTTTAGTGGCACAATTTCTATTACACTGACAAACTGAATCTGTTGTAAGCTCTGATCAAGGAATTGCTAGCTTTTATGGTTGTGTCCAACGCCTAGTCCACCCAATTGGGCAATGATCCTGCAAATTTTAATGCACACTAGTAGGTAAATAATTTAGAATTAAAGTGTATACAGGCTGTTCAGATTTTGTGCTCTATTATTATTTTTAATTGTGTCATATATATTTTAATAAAAATACCTAACATAAATACGAAAGTGTGTCTGTGTTTCTGTTTATTACGTTTTTATGACTAAACGAAAATAATGTTAGAATTAAAAATAAATTATGTATCTAGGATAAACGTAGACTATATTAATTTCAAGACAAGTAGCAGATTACGGGTAATTGCTAGAAGAATAACATTTCATTACAGTCTAATTAATTTACTAAAATATTTATAAAAAAAATTACTGCTTTCTATTAAATAAAAGATAGCCATTGTTCATCTTTAATTCAAATGTCGTTTCATCGGTAAACCGCTTTATCATAAATGATATATAATGTAACGATTTATCATTAATTTTATAATCAAACAAATATACTTTGAAATTATATAAGATCTTATATATAAAATTCTCGTGTCACAGTTTTCGTTCCCATACTCCTCCAAAATGGCTTAACCATTTCTCATGAATTTTGTGAGCGTATTGAGTAGGTCTGAGAATCGGCCAACATCTATTTTCATCCCCCTAAATGTTAGGGTAGTCCACCCCTAATTTTTTTTTATTATAAGGTAAAACAACGTTTGCCGGGACACCTAGTAATATATAAAATTCTCGTATCACAATGTTAGTTACCATACTCCTTTGAAACGGCTTGACCGATTATTATGAAATTTTATTAGCATATTCAGTAGTTCTGAGAATCGGCTACTATCTATTTTTCATACCCCTAAGTGAAAAGGGTTGTCCACCCCTAACATTATATTTATATTTTTTGGGCAAAATTTTTTATGTATAAATTTTTATTATGTGTGTTTAAAAAATACATACAACCTTAATGAACATTTAGAGTTGTATGTATTTTTTCTATCACTAACCCCTATTTTTTTATAGCATTATTAATTTATATGGCAAAACAAAGTTTGCCGGGACAGCCAGTAACATATAAATTTATCGCTCGTTATTTAAATACAACCTGTATAACAACAAAAAACACATTTTTCAGTGTCTATGAATTTGCAATGCTAATTTGTTTCAACTCTACCAATAGTTTTATTCAATCGGTTAAAAAAATGTATTTTCATTTGTATGTGACATTGTTTCCATATTACGCAGTTGATTATTTATTACTAAGTAGACTAATTCATATTTATATATATAATTTGGATATTTAATATATATATATGTATAAATTAGTAAGTTACGATGTATGTATGTTTGTAAACTCTCCAAAATGCCGCTTACTAATTTCTCAGTTTACCTTATTGTTTATTAGTAGTAAGGGAAGAAGGGTGAATGGTGTTCACTTAAGGAAAACATGGAGTTTGCGCCGAAACGTTATAGTATTTAATTTTACCTATACTTTCCTTACGCATCGATAGTTCTACTAATACTCTATTTCACTCACACGCAGTCGCGCATCTTGTTCATACATTTTTCAACTACCTATATAATAGAAACATAAGCGCGTGTTTTAATTTACATATTTATTTATTTTTATTTATTTATTTACTTCAGGCTACATGGCATATTATAAATACCTTATAGACTAACATACATAAGAAATAATAATCAAATATGTAAAATAAAATTGTCTCTATGGTCACGGCACTGACGACGGCAATCTGCCACGGTAGCGCCGATAGACCACCTCCTTCGGCCAGTAGTCCTCCTTCATGAAGGTGGGCAGCATATTGGTGGGGACCAGGGCCACGAACGCTTTGAAGCTCGCGTTGTGGCTCGATTCCAACTGCGTCACCCTCAATGTCAGGTTGCTTTTAGTCCGGATGTAGTCAACAATGTCCTGTTCCTTGGTAGCGTAGTGTAGGCGGGATAGGTACATTGCCGTGGTCGGTGTTGCGGCACGTAACAAGAAGTTGGGCCCTGTCAGTGCTGTGCCACAATGGTTTCGATTGACCCTCTTTGTGCGCCTCTTCTTTTGTACCGTGACAAAACCATCATCGTCACGGTTAGCAGACTTTGTACACATAGGGGTCATTTTCAGAGTCACTTTAGGCTCATTTCGCTGAGCAGTTGGTTTTTTAGCGGCGACGGTGGCAAAATCCTGGCGCTTTAATAGCACCGCGGACTTTGCTGGTGCTGCTTCCACTTGCAGCGGTGCGGGCGCTCGCGGTGTGCGAGCAGGGGGCGCGGGACGAGGAACGACGTCGGCTCTCGGCGTCACCGCATCGGTCGTAGGTGAAAACGCTGACTCGATAGTCGCGGCGGACTCATCGAGGCATGCTCCACGACGCGTGTTTACATTTCTAGCGTCATCAGATGACCTAGATAATTTTCGTGAATAGCTGTCTCACTCAGACATACTAATCCCATATATGTCCTTCCTTGTCCTACTTCCTGAAATCATGCAAGATGTCAAAGGACAAGAAGAAATAGAAAGAAGAGTTTCGCCCAGTTAGTTCAAGTTCAAGTTCACCTCCGGCCGTCATCGCTAACGCTGCTCAATTTCTATCCGCCTGTCCAAAACTATTATATAGTAAAAAACGCATAAAGTGAGAATAAATCAATAAAGTATTGTGTTTGTTGATCAAGAATTTTTAAGAAAAACATTATATAATATTAATCTTAGTGAATAGAAAAGAAAACCAGCGCCGAGAATCATCGGGAGTCATCGGAATCACTGTCATCGTCGCAAAGGTGCTCTTTATCTGCTCTATCTGAAGATTTTCATGTGAATTTTTCTTTTAAGATTTTTGTATCATGTTTTTTTTTCCTTGTTTTGGATAAACTTTTTTTAATCATAGTTTTAGCAGATTGAAGGTCTTTTTCGGTCTAACAACTTTAGCGGCGATCCTTTGACGTTTCCTTAGCATATATACAACAATAAAAAAAATAAGTCACAATAAGTTGTAATTAATTAGAAATAAAAAATTAAACATATGTAATTGTTAAAAATTGATTGCATTACCATAAAATAGAATAGTTTTATTATCAGAAAAATATACTAAATAGTTAAATCAGCATTAAAATTTTAGACTTACCGCCATAAAACACTTGTGCAAAAATTAGATCAGTGTGGCCGTAAACGAAAATCCGCACTTCATGATCACACAACGCGAGCTGACTGTCTGTTTGCATTGCTGTCTTTTAGAGGAATAGAATAGAATAGAAAATCATTTATTCAAATAAACTTACATTGAAGCACTTTTGAATAGTCATAACATTTTTTAATCTACCGCTCATTCGGAAAGCTGTCTCATCACAAGAAGAACGAGAAAGAAACTTGCGTGTTGTTCTTTTAAATAATTTTATTATTACTTTACATTTTTAAGTTTAAGTGTGTGAATACAAACCACCAATTAGCACTAATTCAATTAAATACTCAAATAGAAAAAGTATTGAATATATAACCAACTGGTTAAACAATTAATAAGAGGAAATCAGTCATAGTGATTAGAGCAGACCAGTCCCTACAAGCAGCACCCGTTCACGAGTATGACGGATGAGCCAGCCATCACTGCGCTCGACCATATTTTAGGGAGAGAGAGGCTACCTATCCTCGTGCTTTAAGCAACGTGGTGCATGGCGTGTTGCTACATTCCATTTTGATAGAGTTACAGGGGTGAGCGCCATTACCCGGTGAGCGCTATTCCCCCTCGCTCCCCTAACAGCCTTGGTGGTCTAGTGGTTTAGCACACCGCCTTACTTCCGATAGTCGCGGGTTTGATTCCTCGCACGGCCCAAACATTTTTGTTCATGACTATGATTGTTTGCATCGGTCTGGGTGTATTTGGTGTGTGTATTTAATTTTTTTTCAATAACCTAAAATCAAGAACCTTAAAAATATAATATAATAACTAAAAGTTATTATATTATATTTTTAAGGTTCTTGATTTTAGGTTCTTTATTGTATAATTAGTTATGTATATATAGTACTAAGTTATGTATATAAATATCACTAAAATTAAAAAAAAAACCAATATATATACGTATTTGTATCTAGTACCATAACACAAGCTTAACTTGGGTTTAGATGGCACTATGTGTATTGTCCTCAGATTATAGATTATATCTTAGGTGTTAAATAATAGTAATGTAGGCTAATAATCTCGTTGTTAGCAAAATTCTATGTCAAGTTGACCTCCACTCGGTTCCCTGGAAACCATCATGATAAATACCTAGTGAATATATCATAATAGGCTAACTGATCTGACCTCGTGTTCATCTTATCATCCTTCAATAGTGTCCCTCCAGCGTAAACTATTACAATATCCAATTGTAATTAATTTGAATATCTAAAAAAAATTAACTAGCTTTTTTAATTGAATATAATTCATATAATAAAATATTTAATTTATTATATTAAATACTAAATAATAAAGCGCCATCTAGTCCTAACGTAATATTAATATGCATTAGAGTAAAAATTTATTTGAATTAAATAAATTTATCTGAATTATTGTTTCACAGTTTTCAGGGCGTAAATTTAAAGTTCTTTATTTAACAAGGTTATGCCCCATCTGATGGTAAACGGTAACCGTCAATAACAAACATGAACAGCGCTACACATATCACATTATCATGTGATTACCCGTGATACTATATCCTGAGGAGATAAAAACCATCGGTCCTAAGAATATCATTCAATTCTTGTCCCTCAAAGGGTCTAGCTAGCGAACTTTGAATAAGGGCGAGCACAATAAATTTATACAGATCGCACTATGACAGGTCTTAGCACCTTACAATAGCTTACTCATGCATTCCCATTCCAAAAAACTAAGATATCTTACCTCATTATGTAATTTCATAGAAACACTTAGATAAACACAAACAATTACTCATGAATACATATTGCGTAGAATCGAACCTGCGGCTATGTAAGTAATGGAACGGGCTAAATCACTAAACCTGGGTGGTTCCTACCATCTACGTAATTAGAATACGTGTTAAATTGTGAAGATGATTATATTTTAATTTGTCTTTTATGTGTTGTCTATGGACACCCGTAATCTAAGCAAAAAACATAAACAAAGCGTCATCAGATTTCACAAATGATCCAGGAAATTGATTTGATTGGAATACCTAATTAATGATAATGGAAACACATTAAATAGTAAATAGGGTTAGCTAGCTGTAACCTTGAATTAGTATATAAGTATGTGTATGTATGTAATTCATAAACTGTTATATTCATAAATTATTATTAATACTCCTGCATATTGTAAAAACATTTATCTAATAGATAAATTTACCATTTATTAAATGCTAACTTAAAGGGCTTCATAGGTAGTTTTTTATATTTTGGTATATTATAATCAACAACAATTTTTTTCATAAAAAATTGTTACGTAATGATGGCAAAACTATATAAGTGTAATTGTGTATCATTAGTTACAATGAAAGAATTTATCTAACAGGCTATGGTAAATTTAAATAAATCTGTTCAGCCATTTTGTCGTGAACAGCTCCGACAATCTTTCGAATGTATATGTGTAAGTATATGTTAAATAGGTACATACTATATATTATTGTAGAATGAGTCAGCCCTACACTATATACTAATAATATAATTTAATTATATATTAACTATAGTATGAATGAGTCACACATTAAACTTTAGTATTACTTAATAAAAAGTTTCGTTTCTCCATTGCTATATTGGACACCGTTGTTTTTTTACCCGACACGAAAAATTGAAGAGATTTTTATTTCAGGTTTTGTTTTTTAATATCCATTACAATTACATATCGCCAGTTTTTTTTAATAGACTCCAAAGAAGGAGGAGATATTTTTTTTATATCCATAACAATTCAGATATTGCATTCTAGGCCAAACTCCAAACTAAACTAAGTCTAGTAAATTACAATGTTTAGAAATATGTATTTTAAATGTACTATTTATAAATAGTGTATGTATTATACTACTGAAAACAAATATTTGATTTATGGAAGAAATTAACCCATGAACCTTCGGACGTAAGCCAGTGTACTAAACCGATAGACCCCCGTCATTATGGTCAATCCAACTTCATATGTCACGAAATAATACAAATTTCCTTATGTACCTACGTTAACAGTGAATAGACATTATTATTATCTACATATGTACAGTAGACTAAAAAGTAATTTTCAGTAACAATAATAAAACAAAATACTGCAACTTTATATTTCATGAAATAATACAGAATTCCTTATGTACCTACGTTAACAGTGGATAAACATTATTATTATTATTTACATATGTACAGTAGACTAAAAAGTAATTTTCAGTAACAAAAATAAAAAAAAATATAGCAACTTCATATTTCACGAAATAATACAGAATTCCTTATGTTAACAATGGATAACAATTCAGGCAATTTCTGTTTCGGTCCGTCTCGACAGGGGCGCGGCCCGTCATTCCTGAAATTCAGGCCGGAAAGCATTACGAAAATGGTATACGCTGCTCGTCATAACTACAATGGGAACGTGTTTGAATAATATTTTTAGTTTGTCATAGTATGGAATTTAGTAGCTTTGTCATTTTTTTTTAACCAGTTATTACTCACTCAATATCACGATGAAGTCCGTGTGCATAGACTTTATCATTTACCAAGAGGTAGACCGTCAGCTCGATTGCGATGCCAATTTATTATTAAAAAATCACTCACAAGTGTTATGCAGGAATGATAAATTTGTTAGAATAGCAGTAATTAGTATATGTACTTTAATATATAATTAAACATTACTTCGTTTTTTTAGACTACTGTTTAAACTACTATTCATTCATTATATATTAAATAATTTATTGATAAAAATACAGATATTCTATAGGTACTGACTTCGCAATTTATTTTTTTATTTGAAACCCGGTATGTAAATTTTTTTTCGGACTACTCTAATGATGTTGGCCGCAGCTCCCCGAACGATAGGGGGCGAATTCAGAAGGACTTATGGAACGGCTGAAGGCCAACTCCCAACGGTTACGACTTTAGTCTGAGTGCACCGCTAGAGGTTTGAACCTCGGCTCAGGCTGTCGTAATATCCATTCCCTTTTGAATTGGACAGGGGTTCGATCGGAGGGGCGAAGTGTGCCTAGTGTGGTTTCATATAAAAATAATGAGTTCTTAATAATTATCTTAGCATCATATCTATTACTATTTAATGTGTGTCTGAATTTAAAGAAGTAACTGTAAAGATCACAGAAATGGACAATGAAATAAAAAAAATAATAGACGTATGCAATTTTTATTAGTACATTAGTTACAATATTACTATTAACTTAATCATCTATTTCTTCTACCCAAGTAATAAGAAAAATCAAAATATAGGTACACTTTAAAATTTTCACAAAGTTGATAGTTAATAAAAACTATTTTAACACTTTTCGATTCATATACATATATTAAAATTATAACAAAGCGATGTCTGTACATTATAGATATTAAACTAATACATAGAGCGGTCTTTATTAGAGCAAAATTAATTAAAACAATAGCATTTGATTTATTTATACATATCCATGTTTTTTATAAGAATCGCGTAAAAATTACTAAATAGAATTGAATGCAATATTCACTAATGTATCACTAGAAGTCTAAACAAAATATAGCTTTATTTACAGCAGGAAAATATTAAATTCATGGCAAAAGGACATGTCTCTAGTACTGCTATAAGGATCTATATTGCACTTACACGTTTCTGATTTGCTATGTAATTTCCTATTTCTCATCTTTGGGTATTTTGTTTATAGAATATAAAGACCTTTCTACATTATACCAAATGTCAAACTCAGTAACATTTATTGAATGAATGAATGAATGAAAGAAACTATTTATTGTGCCTATCACAGAAAATACAGTTACATACATAATTATATATATATAAAATTCTCGTGTCACAGTTTTCGTTCCCATACTCCTCCGAAACGGCTTGACCGATTCTCATGAAATTTTGTGAGCGTATTGAGTAGGTCTGAGAATCGGCCAACATCTATTTTCATCCCCCTAAATGTTAGGGGTAGTCCACCCCAAATTTTTTTATAACAGACAAGAATCTTATTCGTTCTTCTTGTGATAAGATAGCTTATGGAGCGGTAAATTAAAAAAAAAGTGATGACTTTTCAAAAGTTCTTCAATGTAACTTACATTAAATGGACAACTAAATAAATATATATATATATATATATATATATATATATATAAAAGAAATTATATTTTAATTCTTGTTGCAGACTAATAATAATATATTTTATATAAATAAAATAATATAATATAATTAAATAACGAATAGAATATATAAAGGAATCAATAATATGATACGTATATAAATAATTAGGGAAGGCTAATAATTCTTCTTTTTTAGGAATTAAAAGGATTTTTTATTTTTATTTTATTTTATTTCTGTGAGCAGATGGTTTCCGTTTTGAAAATATATAATCACAAACATCGCACAAAACTTATAAATGAACATCTAGAATGAATTCTTAAAACAAGTACAACGAATATGACCTGACATAAATAAGCTTGTCAAAAACAGGATAAGTCAGGTATAGATAAGTACCTTCATTTATTACTTTGATAGGTTTTTTTTATCAACCGTATCTTATATAATATGATATACATAATTAAATAAAATAATGTTATATATATGTAGGTATATTAAATTTTGTGCCTCTAATTATTTGATATAAGAGTTTACAGTTCTCAATTATATTTTATTCATCATTTTATATGTAATAAATACTATAAAACAAAGTCGCCGCCGCTGTCGGTCGCTTATATCATTAAAATTACGTAATGGATTTTAATGCAGTTTCCAGCAATAGATAGAGTGATTTAAGAGCAAGGTTTATATATATAATACATCTGTGTTATAGTATATAACGAGCCGAGAAATTTAAAGTCTTGTTATGCATCCGTGCGAAGCAAGGCGGCTCGGTTGGTAATAATAAAGGATGATGATAAAAATATAATAGAGGCAAATGTCATTATGTTCATTTCGTTATCGGTATTAAAACGCAAAATTTTCTCATTATTTATCATTGTTAGATATAACACTATTAATGATATCAGCTACATCTTTATTTTCAACAATACTCACATGATTACCATCAACATAGTGTACAATTACAGATCCATTACTAAACTTATCCAGACCATAGTCGTCTTTGCAATTAATAAACGGAGGATTATCTTTTGGTCTCATAAGTAAAATTGGAGATTGGAGCTTCATAACATCATTCAAATTGTAATTTAGTATTACTTTTAAGCGATCGAAACACACTCGAGCCATACGTGAGATAAATTCTTTAGAATATTTAGTTTGAACTGGAGACACCTCGATAGCATACTCGATTTTATCTTCGTACTTATCAATCTCGTTGAGTTTTTGTATTAAATTGTTAGTAATATCATTGCTTGGTGCTATATTGTTCATAGTATGGCAAATTAGGCTGTTCTGAATTTGGTCGTCATTATTGAAGCTCAATATCGAAGTGACTATAGAGTAGAGGAAGTCCGGGGATCCGTCCAAGCAAAATACGGCCCCCCTGTAACCTACAAACAGATATTTTTAATTATTTATTAGAAAAACTGTTATAATTGTTACAATCAATAAAAAAGGGCAAACTGGATAAACTTTTGTCTAAGATAGATTTTGTGGGTAATCGTTGGTATTATTCCCAGGTCTCGCATATTTCTGTCGCCAAAAACCTGTGACGATTTATAAGATGTGTTTCGGTTGAATGATGAGATAAAACTGTGAAATAGCATAACATGGTCGCCTTAAAATAAACGGCTACAAAGATCAATGAGCATATTTTTGAACCAAAAGTAATGAAATTCAAGGAATATGCACTTACAATTATGATACATTTGATAAACCTCCACCACGAATAAATGATAAAGAAGACGAAGGATAAAGGCAAGTCTATAATGAGGACACACAATAAAACCTTACCTTCAGATTCTAATTTGGCTGCTAAGTCTAATGTAAGGAGACATCCAAAGCTGTATCCAAGTATCCCAAACTTGGAACCGGGTGCCAAGCACGATATTGCTAACTGCAGAATATAACATAAAATTATTTAGGACCTTCATTGCTCATTTGTTCATGTTAGACAATAATTGATTTGAATTGACCAATTAGTCGAATTTCTGAAATGTCGTCTGCTTTTCAGCCGCCAATAAACTTATTTTAGAAGCTATGTTTCGTCGTTCTTAGCTTGTAAATAAATTATAAGCTAAGAAGCATGATATTCTCTAGAATGGCAATACATAAGCAATGTTACGATCGTCAATGATAACGTGACGCTCATCTATATAGGCGAGGGTTAGATTGCTTCCCAACTATACAAAAAAATACATATATGTAGCCACAAATACAATATAATGTCAAAAGTACAAAATGTTATGTTCAGATTTAAGAAATAATCAGAATAAAAGTGAGATAAAATGAAATTGATTCCCTGAACAATCTCTCTCAAACTTCCACACTAAGCTTACGACCATCTTGGATTGCTGCGGATCACACACACATTATGGCACGAACTATACGGAGAAACATATGAACATAATTTTTGGTGACAGCTAGATACCAACTCACCTATAAGGTTTGAATCTAATAGTAAATCATCAGGCCATGATGCCACTAAAAATATAATATAACCTAATCCAAAATACAAACCTGATATAGTCGTTCCACCATTTCCTCGCAATTTTCGTTCACATGTTCGATTCCGAGCTGCAATACGCACACTTTGATCTTGAGTTTAAGGCATAGAGGCTCTAATACTGCAGCACAGCCTTCCAACCCTGGCAGCATAATCATCAGTTTTTCGTGGATCGGTTCTATTTTCTGCAACATGAAAATATATTTCTAGTACAAATTATTCTTGCCACATATTAAGCGCCAATCCAAAAATTGAAGGGACATAAAGCTATGTAAGCGTATTGAAAATAGGTTAAAGCTGTACTGAATTATATATGATATTGAATTATATATATATATATATATATATATATATATATATATATATAATGAAGTAAACTTTGTATAAGTCTCTATATCTGCCGAAAATAGGTTCTTTGCGATTTTCCCGAAAATGCGTCGTCTGAATAACTTGTAGATTTTAGTGTATAGGAGTCTCAGAGTACCCGCTTGCCTAGGTCGAGTGTCCATGAATGATTTTCTCTAAGTAAAAATAGTCATCTCTGAATTACCATTTTCCATTTATTACTAGCTTGCTTTATAAGCGGTCTTTCAGTTGAAGAGTAAGATTAAACAATGATGTCGTAAAATATGAAGGTTTGACACTTAGTTAGTTTTCCGGAATAGCAACGCATTAGAAGTGCCACGCGTCATATGATTACATTACATCGATGTTGATATATACCTATATTAACATAATATTTTATTTGATTTTAATTAACGTCTTTCGGCGGCGTAACGTATGCGTCGAAGTCACCCTGAAGCAGATTTCACCCTGAAGAAGACTTCTGGATGAAGTTGAAACAATTGTTGTGAAAGATGAAAACACAGTGAGAAAATACTTATACTTAGTTATATTATTAAAATTATAAAAATAAACAAATGCACGAATACGTATAATTTAGCGTAAATAATATGATACATAGATACTATAAATAGATCCTTATTAAAATTCATTTATATTATAACTAAGTTCATTAAAAAAACTGTCTAAATGAATAAGTAACGTACTTCAATTCCATCGCTGACCAATGTCGGCATGTAAATGATTGGTTCGTTCACCAACTTTTCTTCCCCAAAGTTTCTTAACAAAACTTTCAGACCGGCGGAGGCTTCCGTACTTGGTTTAGTTGTTATAGATGGAGTGTTTCCACATTGAGCAGTTATTTCCAATAATCTGAAATGTATTTTTATTTTAAGAATAGCAACTCACCCAGTTTTTATACAAGTAACTACTATAATTGGTAGGGAATCCAATGAAAAAAATACTGTCATTGCTACTCCATGATACTAGCTTTCTAAAGGTAAATAATATAATTTTTTTGTGAATGATTCCAATACGAACAAAAAGATATGAAAACTTTCCTTTTTATAATCATTTCTAAAATAGAGTAAGTGATAATATTAAAAGTCGTAATGCTATTAATAGGTTCATCCATTGATGTGAATTGAAATGAAATTTAGAATGATTTGATAGTTGTAGAGGAAGAATATAAAGCAACAGCTAGAAGCAAAGAGTTGAAGATTAAGTTCCGTGGCGTGTATTATTACATTACCATCTAGATCCATTAAGGGAGTCTACAGTGGGAGGGTGATAAGAGATGAGATAGAATATGATTGAAATAGTACCTTTTTCTTTTATCAAAGGGAATGAATAGCAAGTAAGATGACGGTAACTTAGTTGTATGATTACATGCATAGAACCATAGATGTTAAGTCATCATTCATTAATTTATTGCCATTCCAGAAGATATTGTGTCAAATCTCCTTACCTTGCAAATGTTAGAGTCCTTATGTCTTGAGCGGTGAGAAAAACTTCGAATTCTCTTTCAAGAGTTTGTTTGATCTCCACAGCTGTCATACTGTCCATGCCCAAGTCAGCAAGAGAGACTTGTTGAGATACGGTTTTGAGGTCTTTAATACCTATTAAAATAAGAATATTAATAAGAATAAAATTCTTAAATTATGCCCTGAAATAGAAAACACATAGAAAGCATCTATGCAAAGTATATATGACCTTTTTGCTTAAAGCATTCTCTTACAGACAACCTGGAGATGCAAGCTTAAAACAAAGAAAAGAAAAAGAAATACTATAAATACAGAAACAAAATAGATACACATATAAATACTAAAGGTAAGTAAAATAAATTATAAATAATATATTAAGAATGCAATCGTATGTTTTCGAATTTTTTTTCTACCATCCACAGGCATAATAAATCATAGGAACATGTTGATTATAGTATATGACAACTAAAAAATGAACATGTGTTCAAAGGATCTTTGTTCCTTGTAAAGCGAACTCATTGTCGGTTTACTTCTTTCTTTTTATATTTTATATCAATTTTGATAATTGTATTTTAATAAATTAAATACTCATAGCTATCGTAATATCTCGCTTTCAATTATCTGCATATTTTCCCAGAAATAAATCCACAGAGATCCCTCTTTTAACGTCTATATTCAGTATTCCCGCTTTATTTTGAAACGAGGAATTGCATTGCTTTGTTATTTTATTATAAATGAATTCGTTTTTAAAAATAGTCTGTCACAAAATTTTAATTTTGCAATATGAATATATTCATCAACTGTTTAATTATTCTATTACTCTATATGGTTTATGTATATAATAATATATTATTATTATTATATTCTTATATATACGTAAGTAATGCTACATTTAATTGAAATTAGTATTAATAAAAAATAAATGAATGATGATACATTTTGTGTATTCTTATTGTTGCCTTTTGCTTCTTTAACAAATGGTTTATCTGTATTAATCTAAATTATATTTATAAGTTTATATTAAAAATCTCATTCATACCCATAATTTGAGCAACAGCATCCACAATTGTCTCACAGTTAGCACTTCTAGCTGTTTTTTCAGCTACTACCATTGAAGAAACAATAGGCGAATCTTGTTTCAAGAATTTATCTAGAGTCAACAAACAAGATGATATTCGTTGCTGCAGAGTACCTCCAATCTCTAATTGTATATCTTCATCTTGCATATCAGCCACTAGACCGACCTGTAGGAAGACTTGTGATTATTTGTACCAGTTATCTAATACCCATAACACAAGCTTTAGTTAGCTTAACTTGGGACTGTGCGCTGTGTGAATTGTCCTGAGATTATTATTATTATATGGAACATAGACAATAGCAACGACAACATGCATTCCTATTTTTTCATTGAATAGCTCTTTTATGATAGTAGTCTAGAGGTTTACACAGCGCTTTACTTCCGATGGTTGCGGATTCAATTCCTCGCATCGCGCATTTGCATTCATGAATATGATTGTATGTGTTTGTCTGGGTACTTTCTCTGTATATTATGTATGTATTGACTTAAAAATGTGTTTAAGTCATTGTTCATCATTGGTCGTTGAAGTATCTAACTGCAGATAAAATTAAGGCGATGATAATAATGATTTTTTAGTTTTCATAAATAATTCTAAATATCTAAATAATACTTAAGTCAATTGTACAACTAAGAACCTAAAATTAAAAAGCTTAAAAAAATATAATATGATGACTAAAATATATTATTAAAAGGGGTCCTTTAGGCAACGTTCCGAAGATACTGGCAGCGTTCCCTCTTTGAATAGCTAGACTAATTCTTTGTCCAAGGTAGCTGCCAGCTCTTCGGTCTTCTGTGATGTCGACTAACCTTTTCGTTATTTCTTTGAAAAGTCTTATAGCGCTAGGACCCCACGGACCAAGGATCTCGACACCGAATGGGACAAATTCATATTCAAAAGTCAATAATAAACTTACATCACCAACAGCACCCCACTGCACAGCTAGAGCCGGTAATCCATGCTTCTTTCGTCTTTCGCAAATCCTCTCCATCACAGAATTCGATAAACCATAGTTAGTTTGACCAGCGTTACCACGACCACAAGATACTGAGGAGAATACTACAAAATCTCTGTGGATAAATATTAAAGTTATTAAATATGAACTTCCAAAATTATGAAGGTTAACAATAAAGGAAAGATAGATTACATGTACGATGAAATGAATAAAAGTAAAGTAAACTTAATTACAATGGTTGATGGGGATTTGGGGGAAAGAAAGACATGTACGGACCATAAATAAAAGGACATGGGCGGTACACTACTAGTATTGAGTAACTTACTTCAGCTTCGGACAAAGTATAGTCGAAAGTTTGTCTAAATGCAACGTAGCTAGTGCTTTAGGTGCAAAAGATATTTTAAATGTCTCAGCAGTTTGATTCTGGAATATGGCATCTTTCAGGATAACGGCAAGATTGAAAATGGCTTCAACTGGACCCATTGCGTTCGCCATCTTTAGCATTTCTTCGCATCCAGATTCGGTGGTAATATCGTGAGTAGAAATTTGCACATCAGCGCCGTATGATGCCCATGCTCTGTCAATAATGAAATATATTTATATATATTCGAGTCCAACAAAGTCGGGGAGTTTAGCCCTGCTTCGGACAATTTTGATTTATGATCGACGGTTCAAGAAAATTTGTTGAAGTTTAAATAAACTCAAAGTTTCTTGATATCTGTAAAATTTGGACCTTGAGATCTTATTATTAATCTGAAATGTAAGGATAGACAAATTAATTAGATTATTTTACCTTAGTCTATAAGATTGATAACCATTGCTTATTCCTTTACGAGAAGTTAGGAGAACCTTTCTGGCGCCTCTCAAGATGCACCAATCAGCCAACTCAAGTCCAAACCCTCCCAAACCACCTACAATGACGTATACATATTCCTCGTTGCACATGTATCTATAAAAACAATGATTTCATTCAATTGCATAATATTCCGAAATTGTTTTTCCCGATAATTACTTCATGACTCATAATATGCCGAATGAACCATGAGACTCATAATTTTTTTTTAATTGACTGGCTCAGATTGTACAGGCACATATGTCGATATTACATGCTCTTCACACACCCAAATAAAATGGCCACAGTCAGTTTAGTTCTTGGAAATATAGGACCATTCTACAGTCCAATAGTACGGACTGTAGAATAGTCCATTGTGGAGTGCAATTGTTTCAAGTGTGGAGAACATGTAATATCGACAAATCTGCCTGATCAATCTGAACCAGTCAATTTAAAAAAATTACCGGGTCACGCTTTTTGCAAAGTTTGTTCGAGATATTTACAGAGCTGGAAAGTTTGGCCAGTGGAACACAAACATGTTGTCCTAACTATGTTGACTAATAATTTTGCATGTTATAGTAATATATCTAAAATGTAGAGAATACCAATAGATATATAACCGAAAACTACAGTTGGTACACTACCACTGCAAAAATTACTTTAAGATGCAATATATTGTAAGAAATTGTAAACCATGATAGTTACAAATATGGATACATTGTTCTTATTGAAAAATTTGGTTTAAGAGAAAATACATAGGTATATACTTATAATACTTCCGAACTTATATCTGACTGACTTGACTATATTAATGAAATGTTACGTGAAGATAGATTATATTAACAACTAGCTGAACCCGCGACTTCGTCCGCGTGGAATTTAATACTATTTTTCTAAAATAAAAGTAGCCTAAGTTACGCCTTTTACTTTAACGGGACTTTTTTTGGCAGGTAGCTAATGTCTAATACATTAGCTACTTGCCAAAAAAAGTCCCGTTAAAATCGGTTCAGCCGTTTCAGAGATTAGCCGGAACAAACAGAACGACAGACAGACAGACAAAAATTTTAAAAAGTATTATTTTGGTGTATGTACCGTATATATATTCATATGCATGTAGTAAAAAACGGTTATTTCAATATTACAAACAGACACTCCAATTTTATTTATATATATAGATACGAATATATATCCTTCATCTAAAAATATATATTCGCAAACGACATACATATAAACTAATATTAAACGAACGGTAAATATAAATAGTATTTCAATATGCAAAAAAATCTGTTTCACATACCTAGGAATTGCTTCAATAGGGAGACAAGTAGGTTTCGTATATAGATCATTATGCTCCTCATCTCGTATTTTAATAATTACCTGTTCAATATAGAATATTATTAATTAAATTTAATTGAAAGTCTATCGTTCACAACACTCCATTAGGAGCACAGCTTAAAGTTCAAGCATTGCGTTCACAAAAACTTCGACAGATGATAATGCCTTACACTACCAAATAATAATAATAATAATCGTCATCATATTAATTTGTCTCAAATAAAAACTAATACAAATGCTGCTTATATATATATAATAATAAAATTTAAAAGTGATGAACAAGACAAAATGATCTACCCTGCTATTCCGTTATAAATTCATATTCAAATTCAAAAAATCATTTATTCATGTAGGACATTTTAGCCTCTCATAAACGTCACATTTTTATTAAATTAATTTTTACCCTACCGTTCAGTTCGGTATATAGATCCAATTGAGAAGAACTGGCAAGAAACTCAATAGAGTTACTCTTACTTAATTACTTATCTTGTTGTAAATTTTTATACCTATTCCCATAAAAGACCTATTGAATTTTCTAAACGATACTTGGGGACAGCAAGTTTGTCTTTAAATCTATTATTAATATTATGAATATTGCTGTTTTTTTTAAAATAATTCAAGATTTTTATGAACCTATAGGATAATTGAATATATAAATTGAGAAGCAACGGTGAGAATATTTGCCATTTTGAATTTCTCTCTTAATCAGCTCTTAATAGCCTTTATTAGTAAATTAATACAATAAGAGATCGACGACGATGTAAGAAGTAAATATAAAAATTGACATAACGTAACAAGATTACGAACTAATAATATTGGACAATAATAAAATTCAATAAAACTAAAAATTATTCAGGATTATTTATCAATTATCATATATACCACCAAATTAAACAAATCTGAGATAGTACTTATGTATATATCTATAGACAAAAAGTTACTGAAGAGTCTAAGTCGAATTATTAAATAATATATGCAGTTTTGGGAAGAATAATATGCAAATTTTACCTTTCCTATGTGTTTTCCAGACGCCATATAGCGGTATGCAGTCTCAATATCATCCTTTTCGAATGTGCAATAGGTCAATGGACGAACGGCTCCACTATTTAGACCCGATATAATAAGTTCGTACAACATCTGGAAATGATCCATCTTAATAGTACTACTTACATAGTATAATTAAAAATATATATGTGCAATTTTTTATATTGCTTCTTTCTTATTTTATAAAATCTTATTAGTTAGTATTATAAACGCGAATTTGCGAGCGATTTATAAAGTTTGTTAGTATGGTATCCATGTTACCCTTTAACGTAAGAACTACTGAACAGATTTCGATGAAATATTACAGTTATATTACTGTAAAATTTCATCGAAATCTGTTCAGTAGTTCTTGCGTTATACATCAGAATAACATATAGGGTATAAATTGCGGGTGAAACTTATATTGACAGGTCACAGCTTATATATATAAAAATAATAATTTTATCGACTATCTACTTCAGCCATGCCAGGTCTCATATATGATATCCGATACAGTAAGTAGCGTAAACCATTATTTACTATAAAATTATTCGTGTTAAGACCCGGTTAATAATTTAAATTAAGTAAGTAGCGTATGCCATAGTGTTCTATTCTTATTTACAACTTTTTACTACATTCAATTAATTTCAATTAAATAAATAGATATATGTAGATGAAATTATAGACCTCTATAAATTTTTCGGATTGTTGAAACATGTAGTCCAATACAATGCCGTGAAAAGAAAGCTCCTTGTGAGCGACGTCGAGATATGTATTGTTGCTGATATCGTATTTGCCAATCTCAAGGAATCTTCCGCGATAGCCAAGACACCTGACCGATGCCTGTGAAATAAATTAAAGAAACAAACAAACTTAATGTGTGATAGTCCTTTGAACAGTTAGTAGTAGTAAGTCCTTAAAAACGGATTTTTTAATATGAGTTCTAATCTGATCGAATTAGGATTCCTATCATATAATCTGCCGATGAAGCTATATTGTCACTTTGGATAGTTAGTTGTGTAGGTGTTCATGACGAATTTTTTTAAGAATGGTAAACGGAATGCCAACCCATTTCAAAAGAATGCAAATCTTAAAAAACTCATTACAATCTTTAAGCTATTAAAGAACTATCAAAAATAGAATATTTAAGATATAGAGTTAATCGAAGATCTTACATGAAGTTTGTCGTCGGACAGCGAATTCAGCACCAAATCCACACCTTTACCGTTGGTTTCTCTCCGGATCATATCCTCAAAAGATGTGTCTCGGGAGTTTCCAATATGGCTGTCTGTTTAGTAAACAAATAAGATATTTTTATTGTCCTGTATTGTCTATCAGTTTGTCTAGAATAGATAAATAGATAAGTAAATAAATAACCATTGACATTTCACAAAGCGCCATCTAGACCCACGGTAAACACGCATAATATACTAGCACAGAGAAAACACCTATATACCGATACAAACAATCATAGACATGAATACAAAATGTTTGCACTCCTTGTAATTATGACAATAGCTATAATAAATAGAAGAAAAAGTGATTGTTAGTAATGTGGACTCATGTATTGTTCCCAACTAGCAATGTCCACCTTGAAACTATTCTGATAAATTCCTGGAAATCACGATGGGCTACCTATCCTGGTCTCACGCTTATGTTATTATCTTCTACTGGCGTCTCGCCAGTCGGATACGCGATTGAGATAAACAGATATAAGCTACAACTTAGGATAGTACCGCATAAGGTTGTTGTTTGCTTTCCTGTAAAATTCGTAAGCTCAAGCCAAGCGTATTCCTAATAATATTTGTGTATGAGATTTTGACCTTTAAGTTGCGGAAACAGTTTCTTGATGAAGGACCGCTTCTCAGGTGTACCAACAGTTGTAAACACCTTCAATCCATAGTGCAGTGCCAAATATATAGACGCCTGTCCTACTCCGCCTGTTCCGGCATGTATAAGGATGGATTCACCACGACGCATTTTACCTATTATTACCTGAAAGAGCGTATATTCATTCAAAAGTATACAAATAAAAATGTTTTTTTTTAAATAATTATTAACAGTATGCAAATTTTTTTAAGCGTACCAATGTAAAAATATTACCGCCCGTGCTAGTGTTAGTGCTAGCTAGCTATAAAGCATTCCATTTCTCCTAATTCTGTGATTCCTAACTCCTAAATTACTACTTATTAATACGCGTCGATATCACCACTTAAAAAAAACTAGAAATTGCAACACAATTCGCCGGAGTCAGAAAAAGAGAAAAAAAAAAACAGAATCATGATAATCGATTTTTTCCGGACTACTCTAATGCTGGCTGCAGTTAACCTTTACATCTTCACCGACCGACAACGGTGAGTGCAAATGGCACTCCAAACCTGAAGGATTTATGGAGCGTCTGAAGGTCAACTTCAGCCTGATGGATACGACTTTAGTCAGAGGGCACCCTTAGGGGTTAGAAACTTGGCTCAGGCCGTCGTAATTTCGCCTTTTGAATTGGACGGGGTTCGATCGGGAGGGACTATGATTATACTGCTTACGGTGGAAGTTATATTTAACCAAAACAAAGACATCGAAGAATAGTGTGTTAGGACAAAATTGTGACGAACTTAATTGACAAAAAACCTAATTATTCCAAAAAATTACAATACCCACCATCGCACAGTAGGCAGTTCCATATGTCACTGGTATAGTTGCAGCCTCTTCGAAGGTGAATTCATCAGGGATACAATAAGTGAAATTCCTATCACATTCCACCATGTTAGCTGTTGCGGAGTTTTTCAGCATACACATTACCCGAGAACCACTGTTCAGGAGAAATCGATATTTTAATTTGACAATTTTAACTTACTAAATCTTGAAATGACACCAACTGTTTTATAAATGTTTAGTTGTAGGGACTAGTACTAGTACTCTTATCACTACGACTAATTTAATCTTGTTGGGTATTTATATTTGACGCTAATATATTAGTGCTAGTTGGTAGTTTGGATTTGAAAAATGTCAAGTTTTTTGCTCGTTCTTCTTGTGATGAGACAGTTTTCCAAATGAGCGGAAGATTAAAAAATTACCTTTTCTGTTCTTTGCAATTTAAAGTATACCGGAAGAATTAAAAGTTGAAGATCTGTGTTCTTACATTACGTCTGTAGCTTCAGTGACTACTGTAACTTTTTTAATACAATGCCAGTTTTGAAGGCTCTACACAAAATGGGAACATTGTATAAAAAGATAGATAATATTATAGAGGAATGATATTATAATATTTAAGAGCTTCCGCTATTTCGATGCTGTTACAAAGGTTCTAATCTCGGGCCAACTCTCGACTGTCGAAATATCGGTAGCTTTTAAATAATATTTTCATAGTTAACATGTTCTTTATATGATGATAAAATTATAAATGAAGAACAAACTTCTGTGTGCGTCCTACGATTTCGAATCCTTGCACACACTCCTGAGCAAGTCTGCCGGTTGCTATAGCATCAGCAGTTACGCGGCCTGTTGCTGTCATAATGTCACGGAAATTGACAGCTGCACAGTACACCTGAAAATTAAAGCAGGTTTAGGATTTGTTTTTTGTTTCGAAACTCCAAATAGCGGTGACTACTGAATTGGTGAACAATCTAACGCCCCACTCAATTGTGAGCGGTAACCGTCGCGTATATACATGAACAGTACGTCGGACATCACGTTATCATGTGACACCGATAATACCACTCATACATTACCATTCCAGAGGAATAATATATTTTATAAGCTTCTTATTCTGTAATTTCACGGTCTAATCTGCATTCTACAATAGATTAAAAAGCAAGACGCTGGGCGGCTGAAGTAGGTAAGACTAAGGTACATACGCAATCTTTTTTTCAGTCAAATACATTTTTCCAGTAATATTACATATATAAATATTTATATACAAATACTTACATGTACAAGAAAGCTTTTAGGATTTTTAAATGCCACGTCCTTTCTGATATTTCCTTCAATCCAGCTTAGAGAAGACAAGTCTCCAATAGTTAATGTATTTACAAAAGCATGGTGAACCCGTACAGTGTCTAAATTACTGAGGAGCAAGTGGCGATAGCTACCCCATTGTCCCTGTATTAAAAATCGTTACATTTTGTTAAAAATTATCAGAAGTTATTTGAGTAATATTATTAGAATATTTTATGAAGTTTAAGTAACACATAAAATAATCTAAGTAATCACCGAGGCCGTCCAAGATGGACGATGGACGTCCACGGTGGTCATGGGTTAAATTCCTCGCACGTATTCATGAATATTATAATGATTATTTGTATTGGTCTGGGTGTTTTTTGTATTTCCGAAAAATGTGTCTAAGTATTTCTAAATTCCGTTGTCTAGTATTTTGAGATTAAATGACACTGTGTAAATGATTGTGTTCTTGGTTATTATTATATATATATTTCATAAAACAATACATTTATTGCTTACATTTTGATACACGTTGATAGCCAAATCTTTTTGTAATTGTTTTTTATAAAACATCAAATTATGGTCAAACGCAGGAGCTGCTGGGTCAGTTATTAAAACACCAGAAACAATTTCACCGCCTGGTTCTCTTCTTAAACAATTTACTAGTCCTAGGAGACCATTAATGCTTTCGTTTTGAGTATAAAGTACAATTCTATTAGCAAGCTTAAGTTTTTCTTTAACTATTTCAACCCACGAAAAGTCCTCATCTGCAGTTTCAATTTTTACGTACTCAGCTAACCGTGTGCTTATACGTTTTCTTAAAAGAACTAAAAATTCCGATCCAACATTTTGGATTGTGATTATATCGTATACGTCCGATTGTTTATTGGGATCTGGGCGGCTTTTCTCTCGGCTTATAATGAAGCATTTATCGCGAAGAGTAGCTGCAGCCTGATTTAAGACCTGTGAAGTAAAATATAATAGAAGTTTTCGATTGATTGATAATGGATTTTTGCAGATTATGGGGAATCTAACTGTTTTAGATTTATGAACCCAATACGCTGCTACGATGAACACTTGGTAAAAAATTGTGAGAAAAATGTCCAGAGATCAGAATTAAACATTATGGTACTAGAAGTAAACATTATGGTTAAATTATACAGTTATATTAGACTTACAGATTCTCTCTTTAATAGATTAGCTCCAACGAATAAGACTGCATTAGATTCTCCACTGACTTTTTTATTTTCCACAATTATAGGAAATGGCATTTCAATAGCCTCATCACTTATTAAGAGTAATTCTGGCTGGACTAATGGCATATCACCAAGGATTTTGTAAATTTCTTCTGTTATAGGTTGTAAGCTATTATTCTTATATTCATCGTCAACCAGTTCAATGCTCTTTACTTTGTATGTCGGTACGTTTTCAAGAATTATTTGAATATTCGCTCTGAGGGTGTCCTGTATCTAAACAAAAAAAAAATATCGTACATAATAATTAATTATAATATTTTATATTCAGTATTATAAAACTAAATTCTGTTTATCCGTAAATGAATAAAAAAAATTAAATAAGTATAGATTTTAAATTTGTAACATTTTTTAAATGACTTATCAATACTTACCGCTTCTTTTATCAAATTAAACTAATAAATAAATACCTTCATCTCGTTGTCTTCAAAATTAGGAATAAATTTGTACTTTTCCAACACAGGTTCTCCCAGTGGTACCCTTTTTGAAATTGGTGCTGCATGTAGACCTCTAATTTCAACACCTCCAGCCCTAGAATGTTTGATTAGACTATGAGTAAAATTACTTCAGGGATTTAAGGCTTGATTTGCAGTATTTTTAATCTCACGCAAAAAGGAGATTGCTGACAATAACGATTAGTAGTCAGGTTGACCTCGCTTCGAAACTATCATAGTAAATTTGCTACATTAATCTGTATCTTATATCATGTACTGCCCTGACAGCGAATGTAGTAGTCTTAGAGTAAGAACATTACCAACAGCAGCTTTTAGTATCTAGATAAAGTATAATTTATACTGTGTATTATGAGTTGCAATATGTAACTTTAAGACATACAGATTCTAAAATATTTCATGAATTTGTTTACAAATTTAATTATCTGCAAAAACTTTTAATAATACATACCAATTGTACCTTTGAATATGTACCTGATAACATTGACGGCAGGGTATACCCGGACTTCGAAAGAATTGTCTTTAGAGTAAACATTCATTTTCGATATAGCTTTATAGTGCATATTGACATCAATAGACAGTGTTTCGATTCTAGTCGGTACAAAGAGACCACGGGTATCCTGGCCAATAATTTTTAGTTGCAGCATGCAGTCCATAAATGTAACCCAATTATTGACCCAGGCGAGACGACCTCGAGTACCTTCGATTGTACAACCCAATACGCCACGGAACAAGCCGCTATAAAAAATATTAATATGAATTAAAATAAAGAATATAGCGGTAACTTAGTAAATAACTATTACTAAGTTGCTAAGGTAGACCGATGTAATAGAAAGTTGTGATGTATGATTGATGTATGTAGATATAGATATCTACATACATAAAAAAAGTCTAAGCAACACATACAAATTTCAATTTTACAATGTGTTTTCGCATTAAATCCTTAGTATTTTCTTATTTATATTATTTTTTAATACTTTTTTGTTATTAAACAACAATATAAATATTTTCTAGTTTTTAATACTCTTAATTAACAATAATTACGAGTAAGTACTATATTTATGTAGTACAAAATAAGGTGCCCAATCAACTAAACTTAAACTAGAATTAAAAGGTTGTACAACAAAGTGTGGCCTCCTCTGTTACGGAGAAATTGCTGGCACCGATTATTCATAGAATCGATGAGACTGTTAATGTGACTGCGGCAAGTGCTCTCAATGAAATTTTAGTATGTCCATCAGTTGTTGGGGTGTTGTCACTGCATCCAAGTCCTTTAAAACACGTCTCTGGAGCATATCCCATGCATGCTCGGTGGAGTTGAGGTTTGGCGATTGTGCAGGTCAAGCCAATACCAGAATGTTTTTCCTTGCCAAGTACTCCCATGTATGCAAAGCTGTATGCATTTGGGCGAATGGACGAACATAAGGCCTTAGAACATCCTCAAGATAAAGAGATGAAGACGGCAAATAACGCTTCTATTCACACCAAAATACCGAGATTGCATACTACTATAGTTCATTTCATTTCATCTGTGTCCTAATGATGTCGTTCCATGACATAAAAAATGTCTCAAAATCCAAATTAGTTTAAATTTTTTTTCAAATTATTGTTTAAATCATTAAATTTATACCGAATACTAAATTTTAATAAGCAAAGAAAACGCTATAATATCCATACAAATGCATTTGCTTTTGAATTTGTGAAGAAAAAACAAATGATACTCGATTTTTTTTACAACCAACCAGTATGTCCTCTAGATCAAAAAACTTTACATAGGTATTACCTACTTGGTAAGAAATGATATAATAATTGCTTAATAATTTGCATTTGAAATAGTTGCTTAGACTTTTTGATGAATGTATATTTCACCTAATTCTGAAAATTCGGATTAGATAAGAGGGAGCTAAAGAGAATATTGTGATATAAAAGGAATATTAATGTATGGTAGTGAAATAATAGGGTACAGATGTACAAAACCATTTATGCTTCAAGAAATGCAACATTCGAAAGGTACATCTATCACAAAGCATTTAGTAGTGGCTGTGATGCTATTCATATTTGTATAAAGGCGACGGTTACCGCTTACTATCAGGTGGACCGTCAGATTGTTTGCTACAATTATTACTTTCCATTAGGATTAGCTTTCAATTACATAAAATGAAAAATATTTCACAACATTAGTTCACCTGTACTGATATCCTCTAAGTCTTAATTCCTTATAGAAATCTTTAGTAAGCATATGTTTCATGTTAGGTGCGAATACTTCAGGTACTGTTGGTAATACATGGAAATCTTGTCCCACGTTATTCTTTGCCAAGATACGTCCTGTTACAATACACATTCCACTTTCGGTAATCTAAAATAGAAATACATGAATGAAAAATATTCACCTCTTTTAATTTAAATCGGTTTGTAATAAATAATTCTCCACTAATCTTATTAGTATTAATTCTGGGCCTATAAGCGTTTTAGCTTGATATTTTTCTACATTAACAATGTATTTTGTATCATTATTAAATACTATCCTTTTCGAGTAACGTTCCATGGTATTTTTCCAAATATTTTAGAATTTACAAAATAATTAGTACCTCAAAATTTCCAGTATTTCTATGTATTGAAATAATGAAAATCAGCTGTCCTTCCTTAGGGATATTAGTGGCTCTATGAAAGCGGACATCCTCGAAGATAACCGACGTACCATCGTACAGCTTTCCCATTATACCAAATGATTCCCATACAAGGACTAGATATCCAGTAGCGGGATAGAGGTTGCGACCTGGTGATAAAATATTATTTATTAAGTATAAATTTATTTCTGTGTATAAAAATTCAGTGGAGTAGCCGTACAATTTTAATAGTGAATCGAACATCGTTACGACTGATATCCCAGATGGAGTACTCAGAAATATTAAGAGGAAGATTTAGTCTACTATTTCTTTATCAAATTCTTTACCTGCTAGTGACAATCTCTGAAGCGTTATAGCTAAGCGACAATCATGATTGCGTGTGAATAATGATCATAATGCTATTTTTTAATTATTAATGAATTATAGAATGTTAACAATTGGAATAATATGCAAAAATGGAGTATTGGAGATATGTATTATATCTGGTTTCTATATGAAGTACTTCATAAGAATCCCTTTAAGCCACATGACAGGGTGTCATGATTCATCGTAACCATATTTTATTTCTTAAGTAAATTATCTCTTTTTATACTACTTGAAGTTTATAATGAGAAGCTGAAGTGATGACGATACTCATAGAAAGGTTTTACCTTAACCTTAACATGAGGACCAACCATGATCTCGAAAATGCTTCAGAAAGTTGGTAAATTCATAGATATGTTCTTCGTAGTGGAATATAAAGAAACCATTTGTATAGTGAATGACCTAAAGATAATGATGATGTTATTTTATGACACCTTACCATTGACGACGTGACCTGACAGGAATTCAGATGGCTCGTCATTTAAAGTCATCTTGACCATGCGCTCTGCGCAATTGAATGTTTCTTGAGCCATGTTGAAACTTGTCACATACCTAGAAATTATTAATTGTTGTCACCATGACGAAATATTCAAATTATTCTTCAACTTTGTAAATTAAATAATCCTTTCACTTCATTTAACATCAGTCAGAAGTAATTATTACCGCTAGTTTATTTAGAAGTATAGTTTACTGTCCCGAGTTAGGATCATCAAATGAATTAAGTTCTTAATAGTGATAAAAATACTTATAGCTGAAAATTTGTGTTTACACGCTTGGCATATATCAGACTAGGCTTTTTTCACTGCTGAAAAACGCAAAATTTTGTGACATTTGTAGAGTTCAAATATATTATTGTGTGTGTATTTATTATTGTGATATATATTCTTCTCATAAACACGGAATCAAGAATAAGTCTATACTTACCAATTTTCACCGTGCTCCCATTCCACTAAATGTGATAACATTGGCGTGCCACGTGATACTGGAAATACCACGTGGGGGTAGAGATTAGCAAGACGGGGATTTATACCAGACTCAAATAATCTGAAATAAAATGCAAATTAAATATATGTAATAGAATTTATGAAATATTTCTTACCATTCGAAAAGTTGATACTTACTTTCCAAGCGCCGACAGAAGTATTTGCGTGTTATCGCCATGACTCTTTTGAAGGAGAGATATATTGACGATATCCTTCTTCATAGACTGCTGAAGAAAGGTTTGGAGTGAACCATGCGAAGCCAGATCAATGATGACAGCATTTTTGTTAATGAGCCGGGAGGTTTCTTCAAACAAAACTGGACTCTGTTGGCGGAACGTATGAACATAATAATAATAAGAAACCTGAATAATTCACACTGTGTAGTCTAGTCCCAAGCTAAGCAGAGCTTGTGTTTTGGGTACTAGATAACTGATACTTAGATATATTTTTTGTAAATATACATATAAATATACATAGAAAATACCGATTTAAATACAAACCATCGTACGCATGGATACAAATGTTAGCTGTATCTAACCCGCGACCATCCAAAAAAAGATTGTATGATTGTATGCCTCTGCACCACTGAGGCCGTCAGTATATAATAATAAGATTTAGACTATTGTTAAATATGTCCATAATGTAATAAAAACATACCAAAAGATTATTAGTATGGTACTCCGCAGATGACAACTCAGCTTTGGAACTCGTCCAAAGAGATTGGGGAACTGATGTGGAAACCCAACGCTTTGAACGTACTGTTGGCGATGGTATAACTTTCTTCAAGTACTTAAGAAGTCTGTGACCTATGTATTAAAAAAATAATATAATTTAACATTTCCGTAAATATTTTACGAAGAATTGCTGATGGAATCAACAGATAGAGTTGAGTGACATTGATCACAGACATCATAATATGTCTGCTGTTTATATTTTCAGATTACATTACATATTTGCATGTAAGTTACGAAGAAGTTAGAATTTTTCTGAAGACTTTAATTTAATTTTAAGATTTATTTATTTGATCAGAACTTGTTCATACTCAAGTTTTCAGCAGAATCTACTCTAATCTACTAGTTTACCCACCCCACCCTTGGCTACCCCATTTATGGTAACAGTCGTGACAGTTACCTTGTTTCAGACATGTTATCTTGTTTCAGACGCATTTTCAACCGTAAACTTTGTGGTGAATGCTACACTTTATATTTCGCTCTTCAGATTTTGAATCCTATAAAAACGGTAACAGGGAGCAGGCCTATAGCCATTACTTAGATTGTTTTTCGTTTTATATCAGTGTTTAGTACTACGGAGATTAGGATACTCGAACGGAGATAGAGTTGAATTATAAATTGCGACCCAATTTTTTTTATAGTTCGGATTTTAACTCACAAATACAGGCGTAATTATGGATAGTAAACCTCTAGACTACGACGCTCTTTCTCGACTTTAGTATAATCTGTATGGTATGTTCATCTACCTCATTGAGATAAGAAAGGATACAACTTGCTACTACTTTTTAGCCGTGGAGATTTTAGGAGATGACTAAAAGTTTGAAACTAGGAGCGTATTCATCCTTTTTTAAAGGTATTTGAGCAAACTACCTGAAACAACTTACCAGTTTCGGTAGTGTACCGCGAATGATATGCGATTTTGGAGCACGGTATTTCCTTGACGAATATATCCTGAGCAGATAATTTAGCGATGAAACTCTTCATAACATCAGCTGGACCAGAAATTGTTATAGAGTTGGGTCCATTATATGAAGCCACGTCAATCTCAAGAGGACATATAGATTTTATCTGTTACCAAAATAAAACATTATATCAGAAAGTATTCAGTGAGAGATCCCATCCAGAATATTTAATTAAATATTTGGAATACAATGATTTTGGTCGTCAATTAGAAATCTACTAGAGCATCATTTGCTATTGATCTTAATTATTAGGAAACCGGGAACAATCAAACAGTCTACCTGTTACTATATATAAATACTAATCCCAATGTATTGATCAATGTGATACCTAACCTCTAGTGATACCTAACTGGTATAACACTGTTGGACCTTATAATATAATTGTTGGTTTTAACGACATTATTAATAATACCTGATCATAGCTGGCACCAATAATAGCCATAGATCCCTTAATTAACTTGGTCTCAGTAAATGCCAATCCTTGACTGTACGCCGCCATTATAGTTTGTTCAGCCGTAAAGCAGCCATCTGCGTAAGCGCAGACCAATTCACCGACACCATGTCCTAGAAATGATATTAATGACAATTTTCATTTTGAAAATCTTTAAGTTTTGAGCGCGGACTATACATAAAATAGTAATATGATTAGATAGACATGAGAAGCAATAGTGCCCTGCCAGCATGTGGATGGCGTTCACAAGCGGCTAAAATGTCCTACATGAATAAATTATTTTTGATTTGATTTGATTTAATGTACTGTTTACCTGTCAGTAAGTACAGGCATCATTCCATTATTAATAATATATAAAAAATTGGCAAAGTTATGCGGACGACACCATTAATTTAGGTGTCATTTGTTTGCTTTTCTATGAGTATTTAATTTTTTATATTAATTGTCAAAGACAAATACATTGTTGTTGAGAAATTGTCGAATAACTTTCATTCATTTTGTCATTAGCGAAATATTTGTAAATAACAAATTACTTACCGATAATGTAATCAGGTTCGACGCCAATTGTTTTTAACACATCAGTAAGACCGATCTGTATCGCCACGATCCCAATGAACGAGTTCAAAATATTATCAATATTTGTATAGTCGACATCTGTGACTATTTTCGCTAAATTGATACCTTTTGACTTCAGTATTTTGTGGCAACTGCAAGGAAATAAATTTTGATAGTTAACATTACAGAATTTTACGTATGTCGTGTGTATAAATCTCTTTGTTAAATAAGTAACAGCTTAGTAGTAATACACTCCAAAATTCAACAAGATAGTACTATAGTAAAATAAATTATTGAACAGCTTCATCATTATTCTCGTTAGTGTTTGATATGACAATGCCTAGAGTATAATCACAGAGTCTCACAGTAAGCGCGATCCGATGTGCACGTAATAGGTAATAATTAATTATTTTATCGTAATTGCTCAGCGCGGGATAAGCCGTGCTAGTCGAAGCATAGCCATGTGTGATAAACTTGTGGTCAACGAACTCCTTGCGTTCCTGCAGCAGAAGCTAGACGTAATGGGCGAAGTAAGTGCAGTCCAGATCTGTGTGTACTTCAGCTTGGACGACATCGCGAGGGCAAAGGTGCTGCTCTTCGAGTCGCTAAATAAAAGTTATCAGATGGTGTCACGCAGATGTGACAGGACACAGAAAAGGGTACAGGACATTATAACCGATCCAGATAACGTGCCGACTTTTGTGGCGAAGGATTTGAACAAACTTCCTCCAGTCACATATGATCACGTCGATTTTAACAGTCTGTTCAAGGATACGCTAGTAAACCAACATCACAGCGGCGTGTGCCAAAGGTGGCATCGAGCGTTATTCCTACATGTGTTAAAACTGATGACCGTGGCGACGATGGCTTCGTCGTGATACAGAAGAAGAGGCACATAAAGAGGACCAACCGAAACCACTGTGGCACTGCACCCACTGCGCCCAACAACCTATTGTAAGCTGCTACATCGACTACATACAGAAAGTACTCAGACCAATACAAACAATCATGATTACAAATTTTAGCACCGTATGAGAACGGTATCGAATCCGCGATTAATGAAACTAAGGCGGTGAGCTAAACTGATAGATCACCAAGGCAATCATGATATAATGTTATATGATTATCATCGGAATGTTATATCATGATGATGATGAGAAACCCATATCTATGGACATGATTATGTATTATCTTATTTATCGTAATTCTAACAGAAAACCAAATAAATCCGACAATAGGTTAAAAAAATACTTACTTCTCTATAGCAGCAGCGAATGCAGGCATCTTCATAAGTGTAGTGGCCACACCAGTCCACTGTGTACCTATTCCCGAGTACATAAACCAGATAGGTCGGTGAATTCCAGAAAAATATCGAATGTCTCGGGCAAGTGGTACGCTTCTAGTCGGTGTTGAACCTAAAAAATATTATGTCTATAATATATTTTATTTTCTCAGTTTCCAATATATTTAAGCATTGCATTCCTTTAATTTACAGCGAGTAGTTAATATCACAGCAGATTATAGCCCTTTTTGCGCATAATAAATAAGAAAATGAGAAAGGAGGACGATATAATTGTTATATAATTATAAAATTCTGCATGAAAAAAATATCGAATACACGTAATTATTGAGTATGTTAATATAGTTTGTAAGGAAGACTGAAAAATCGTGTATCATTGTTACAGCCTTCATTACTAAACTATATCGTATGATATCTACTTGAAAACTGAGTTAGAGTATTATTATAAGGGAATTTACATGGGAAGATTTTCAAGTAAGGAACGTAGAAAACATAGTTTAGGGTGTCTACTAAAAGTGATAACCACGAATAAATTACAGGAATTCGATAATAATAGATATTGTAGTCTCAAATAGATAAAGCGATAACCACAAATAAGTTATAGAAGATTTGAATGATATTATTGTCTCTGTATACTTCTTAATTCAAAACTTATTTACCTAATAATGTGAATCCTCTAAAATTATGGCCATTAATATTTTTATCGAAGATATCATGCAAAAGCCTGATTTGTTCCACATCTACAGTTCTAGACTCCAAGTCATCAAGTATTCTAGCCACTGCAGACTCTGTTCGTCCAGATACGCACACCAGACGGGGCAAGTCGTCATCTGGCAGACCATTATTTACCTGAATGATAAAAACAGTTTAAATATTTAAAATTTTATTTTGAGTTCGTTATTAGAAATCTAGAAGTTGCAATTACTCTTTGTAAATCTGCTATATTTCATTATTACTACAAGATTTAACTTTTGTTCGATCCTATTAATTATTTGAGCTGACTGCTGTTGTTGATTCAGATAAATATATTAGGTACAAAATTTTGGCATATAAACTTTACTATAAAACACTCGGTATTGATTCCACGAATAAAGCTGATTAAATGTGACATCATTTGTAATATAAGAAGAATAGTTTCTTAAACAACATCTGACATTTTTGTGTCAGGGAGGAATTCATGGAAGAAATGATATGCAATGCCTGTCGTAATAATGATGTCGTAATATTGTAATAAACGATATTCTTCATGATTGGCCATTTTTGAAGATTTGGATATGTTCTTTAGAGCATACATGTGATACTTTTCCTAATCATTAAATTTGAGGTGTTTTATCTAACTTATCATAAATATAACAAACATGAGTAACTGCATTGTATCAAGAAGTAAAAGCTAATATAATCAATCTAAATATTCATACTACAAATCTTATTCATGTAAAAATATTTAATAACTTTGGATGATTAACACGTTTCATTAAGACACATTTTCCCTGAATCTAATTAATAAAACATATCTAAAAGCCTAAGCCTAAGTTACCTTTTCACGAGCACTGTTCTTCAAAAGAATGTGAGCGTTGGCTCCACCAAAACCGAAACTGCTAATGCCAGACAAGCCTCTGTTCCAGGGTTGCTTCTCTGTGACAACTTTAAGACGGCCCTCAGATAAAGCAGCGACACCCGCTCGGGGAGTGTCATAATGTAAATTTGGGGGTATCAATCCAGTATTATATGCTATACACATCTAGAAAAAAATCAATTAAATTTGTTCCTATTGATTTGCAGTATTCATCAACAAATATCTATCTATCCACTACAGGTGTTGTTTAATCTCTATCATTACATTGGGACTCCTAAATCTCAAAATTGTTAGTGGTTTCGTTTTTATTAGCAAGTTTATAAGTTACTACTAGAATTTTGATAATATTTTTGGAAGAGACAGGAAAAATAATAGAGTGGATATCACTGTTTTAAGAATATCTGAAAGAACAAACGGAACAAACTTCAAAGGCATTTATTAAAAACTAACCGTATACCATATATGTATTTACATACAGCAATAGAAACATAGAACCACACAATTTTAAGGGAAGGTTATCACAGTACACTAGAAAAAGTCGGTTGACGACAATCTGCATAAAACACTCAAATAAACGGTTAAAATATGTACAGATATATTAATAATACTGACCTTAGAAACCGAGCACAAACCAGAAGCAGCTTCACTGTGACCTAAGTTGGACTTGACAGAACCTATTAACAGTGGCTCCGATCGACCGGCGGTAAACACTTCGTCAATCGCTAATAACTCTTCGGGATCACCAATCCGAGTACCTGTAGAAAGTACTTTGTTAGACTGGAGGTAAATAAGCGTGTTCGCCTTAATTACAATATTGTTACCAATCAGTTTGTTTGTTTGGCAAGTGATTATGATCCTATTTTTATGTCAACAGCTCTACACTGAAATTACTTGTTCACTTTAGCCTACAAATTTGTTCTCCCTAAATTTCTCCGAATCGTGACAAAATGTCACATTTTTGCAGGAAACCCCTCAATCTCTCCTCACTGGTTACGGTAGTTATATTAAATTTAAAATAGATAACGCACGGATTTTACAACATATATTTATACTGAAAAATATACCAACAGTCACAACGAAAATATCAAGACTTGTTTCATCTATTTAATATTTTTTATATTTACATGTCCTGGTATTATTTATTTTATTCTTATTACAAAAACCGACACAAAATTCCATCTCGCCCTGGGGTAAATTAGTATTTATTGCCTATTAATTTTAAATGCGTTATCTAATTTTGGTAATTATTTTATGAATAAAATAATAGATGGCGCTGTGTAAATACTTCAATTATTATTGCAGTGTTAGTATCATAAATATAAGGTATCTATACACATACGTAGATGACTAATTTTATGATGATAATTTGCAGAAGCTTAGTTTGGGGCAAAAAAATATTACCTTATATTTAGATTGTTGTTACAAAATTCAAATTATAAACAGCAATATCTTTTTTATTATTATGTGACATTTTAAGTGTGTAATGACTGACTGTTATATTGCAAGGACAATTAATTGTTACTCGCTTCATTAAAAGCCTGTACCATCAAGTAACTTGCTTCATTCACAACAGTCTGTACCTATAAATATATTCGGTTACACGTATATTACATTACAAGATCAAAGAAACAAACCTGTGCCATGAGCTTCAAGAAATTCCAAACTGGATGGTGGAATGGCGCATTCCTCATAAAATTCACTGAGCAGCAGCTTTTGTATGTTTCCAGATGGATAAGTTATACCCTGTTCTTTGTAGCCGTCGCAGTTAGTTTTAGCGTGTAGTACTTGAGCGTAAACTCTAAATAAGGGTATATATTATTTATTGCATACATAATACATAATAATGTAATTCAGAGACAATGTGAACAAAGGTGGACTTATAGCTCGAAGAGATCTCTTCAAGTCAAACCAAAACAGTGGCATAGGCAGTATTGTATACATATATGTAGAAAGGTATCATTGCTTCAAAAATGTCATGATTGTTAAATCTATATCGATACATATGAATAACATTGGAGTGTCTCTTTGTAATATTGAAATAACCGTTTTTTACTACATGCATATGAATATATATACGGTATATATACCAGAATAACATTTTTTATAATTATTGTCTGTCTGTCGGTCTGTTTGCTCCGGCTAATCTCTGGACCGATTTAGATAAGACTTTTTTTGGCAGGTAGCTGATGTAATAAGGAGTAACTTAGGCTACTCTTATTTTAGAACAATATAGTTAAATTCCACGCGGACGTAGTCGCGGGAACAGCTAGTAATAAATAAATGACTAAATAAACTTTGTATAAAATCTTCTTGGTACCTCAGGCTCGCCCACTTCACCCCGCCACTTATCAATTTTGTTCTCAGCTGTTTCGATTGGAGAATGAGATGTGGCAGTGAAATTAAGCGTATATTAAGATATAAAAAGATTAAATTAAAACTTTATTATTTTAGTTTGTTAACTAACGTTATTATGTATATTGTTTATGTTCATGGTTATTGTGGTCGCGCTGAGTAGTCACTTGTAAACCTGTTTACGAGCTGCGAATGGATTGATGCCAATGCAATTCATTCATATTTTGTACAAGTTGAAATGTAAATCTACCCACGCGATTGCAATATTTTAATTTTTACCTATTTGTCGCTGGAAGAAACTAGTATCTATGATACAGGCTCGGCCTAGTATAGATGCCACTGGTAAATTATATGTATGATGTGTATTTAACAAAAATGTAATAGTTTATAAGGACAATAACTGTAACTACTTAAATTGGTGTCAATAAAAAATATATTATTATTATTATTATAATCTATAAAAAAAAAATTATAGATTACATCTATATGTAAAGTATAAAATTTTCGTGCTTAGTGTTTGTAACAAAACTCCTCCGAAACAAATTGACCGATTCCTATGAATTTATATTTTCAAACCTACTGAATATACCTTCAGTGGATTTGGAAATAGGAGATAAAATATTTTTGATAACCCTAAGTTCACTGTACAAAATGTTTAAATTTAAAATTACAAATTGTTTAGGACTTGCTATTGAAAATAGATAAACAAAAATTAACCCTTTAATAGCAATATTAATATTTTAACGATTTTCTACTCTAGGCGACTTATTCATTTATTTGGTAAAACAACGTTTTCCGGGTCAGCAAGTATGTATATATACACATATATTGTATGTATTTAAGTATTTCTAACAGTTGTTAAGTTTCAAAGTCCTTTAGTGAAGGTACCTTCACTAAAGGACTGGGACAGGGAAGGAAAGGACTGTATAAATTGTAAATTCTCGTGTCCCAGTTTTCGTTCCCATACTCCTCCGAAAGGGCTTGACCGATTCTCATGTAATTTTTTGAGCGTATTGAGTAGGTCTGAGAATCGGCCAACATCTATTTTTCATGCCCCTAAATGTTAGGGTTAGTCCAACCGTAAATTATTATTATTTTATTTTCTAGACAAAATTTTTAGTTTCTATTTTTTTATGATACAACATACAAAAATACATACAATCCTAAATTTTCACCCTTCTATCATCAACCCCTATTTTTTTATAGCGTTATTAATTTACATGGCAAAACAACGTTTGCCGGGACAGCTAGTATTTAATATAAATTCAACATTCAGTATAAATTGTACTTGGTAATTATTACTCTTATATTTACCTTTTCGAGTCTTTTGCTTTCTGTAAAAAGCAAACACTGATAGCCTCAGAGCGAGCATAGCCATTGGCTTTATTATCGAAACTCTTGCAAGTACCATCCTGACATAGCACGCCCAATCTACAAAAATAATACATTTATTTAGATCGTTATAGAAAACGAATGAGTATCAAAAGAATGGTGCACCCATCACCGATAACGATTCTGAGGTAACGTTTATACGCGGGGTACTAGTAGATGATAGGATGAGCATGAAGTCAGATCAGTTGCTAGTCATGACGAATTCACCAGAAATTTATGACGATGGTTTCCAGGGAGATAGTTTCTGTACGCACGATACATAAATATATACTAGACTATGATAATAATATTTTAAAGAAGGTGTTGCATATGAATATGGATGATTATAAGGACAGAGGAAGGTCGAAAAAGAATTGGATATGTGAAAGATGATGTGGTAAGATAGGAAGTAAATACCGAGATGGCTACAAATAGAGATGAATGGAAGAGAAACACATATTACGTAAACATATGCACATAACCCCAGATGAATGGGATAAGGAATAAGTAGATGACTATACAAAGCCGCCAGGCGAGCCCCCTCGGATCGATCCCCCGTCCGATCCAAAGGGGGGTCGATATTACGACGGCCTGAGCCGAGGTTCGAACCCCTAGTGGTACCCTCAAACTAAAGTCGTATACATCAGGCGGGAGTTGGCCTTCAGCCGCTCCATAAGTCCTTCCGCGGGTTTGGAGTGCCATCTGCACTCGCTCCCTATCGTCCGGTGAAGCTGTAAAGGCCAGCTGCGGCCAACGGCATTAGAGTAGTCCGAAAAAAAAAACCAGGCGAGTTACGCTGTAGCGCTCGCCACCACTCGCCACGCCAACTCTCGCAGTTTTAAAGCGTCTTTTAATCTTATAAATTTAAGTATCTGTGGTCTATTACAGATAAAACAAATTACAGACAAAACACTATCTGTGGTCTATTACAGATAAAACAAGCTCTGCTTAGCTTGGGACTGTATAATGCTGTCTGAATTGTGAAGGATTGTTAAGATGAGTTTTTTGCATACCTGTAAAACTGTAAAGATATGTAAGGATGTAGACATAAATTAGAGCCACCAACTATAGCAGCTTCACAGTGACCATCTCGTATAGCTCTGAAAGCGTGTTCCAAAGCATACAGAGAACTGGAACACGCTGTATCCACGGTATATGACGGACCGGTAACTCCTAGCCAATAGGAGATACGGTTAGACAACATGGCACGGCAGCATCTGGCAAAATAATTAAAAAAAAATAGTAAACAAATGTCAAACTTATAATTATTGTCTCTCTTTTTACATCAGTCGAAGTGTCACATAGAATGCGTTCTGCTGGAACTAGGCCTACCAATAAGGCAAAGCAAGAGGATATACAGATTTATCTACTTCACGGCCATCTATACTTTACCCATGACCAAGAGATTTGTTTTGAAATACAGAGCTCAAAACATTATAATTTTTTTATACTTTTGTATTTTTCTATACGTTACTCACATGTTTTTTGTATCTATATTGTATATTGTTAACTGACCATTACAATTGTGTATCTACTATTATTGTCGCGTTTAACACAAATAAAAGTTATATCTAACTAAATAGCACAGGAAACAAATAAATTAGTGACAATTCATCACATCTTATCTGTCTTATATCTTACTAATATTACAAACACAGAAGTTTGTGCGTATGGAAGGAACGATGGATGGATGGATATTTGTTAGTCTTTCACACAAAAACTACTGGATGGATTTTGATGAAACTATAGTACTACAGCTCATACATCAGAACTTTAACACATTACAATTACTACACATTACTTTTACATTTAGGCTATAAAATTCATGCAAGTAAAACCGCAGATACAGATAATTAATAAATATTATTATTTTAAACTGACGCAATTTGAGTAAGCATAAACCACAAACTTACCCAACAATAGCGTAATTGTTGAAGTGCATTTTGTCATAGAACCAAGTCTTTTCAGATTCAGAGAAACAGCTGCCAACGAACACTCCTGTGCGTGTATTGCGAAGGTCTTCAGGGTTCAGACCTGATAAAATTATTTAATTATGAATATTTGTACGCTGGGAACAGCAGAATATGATGAATCCTATTTTTATGCAATTACTACGAACTCTTATCTACCACATTCTAATAAGTCTTCGGGGTTCAGACCTAATAAAATTGATGAATTATGAATATTTGTACGCTGGAAACAGTAGAATATGATGAATCCTATTTTTATGCAATTACTACGAACTCTTATCTACCATATTCTAATAAGTCTTCGGGGTTCAGACCTAATAAAATTGATGAATTATGAATATTTGTACGCTGGAAACAGCAGAATATGATGAATCCTATTTTTATGCAATTACTACGAACTCTTATCTACCACATTCTAATAAGTCTTCGGGGTTCAGACCTAATAAAATTGATGAATTATGAATATTTGTACGCTGGGAACAGCAGAATATAATGAATCCTATTTTAATACAATTACTATCGTAGTAATTGTATTAAAATAGGTTTTGTATAAAAAGAGTTGGTACTCTTTACCTACCCAATTGTAATAAGTCTTTAGGGTTCAGAGCTGATAAAATTGATAAATATGAATAATAATTAGTGCGCTGGAAGTGATGAAACCTATTTTTATATATTACTCCCGACCTGTTGTACCTACCAAAACAATAATTATTTATTTATTTGTTAGAATATAAAAATAAATAAATTATTATTAGATATTAAGTACATAATAACGTTTTGAGAGCATATGTAGTAACCTAGGGGTAGACTACAACGATTTATATGCAAGAGGTCGCGAGTTTAAGTATAGCCTGCACAAAAACCTTTATTAATTCATATTCCACTCTCCGATGAAGGAAACACCTATATAACAACTGGCTGTCCCGGCAAACGTTGTTTTGCCATATAAATTAATAATGCTATAAAAAAATAGGAGTTGGTGATAGAAGGGTGAATATAGGGTTGTATGTATTTTTAATGACACAATAGAAAAGTATAAATAAAAAGTTTTGGCCAAAAAATAATCTTAGGGGTGGACTCTTATCACTTAGGGGTATGAAAAATAGATAGTAGCCGATTCTCAGACATACTCAGTAGAGTATGCATATAAAATTTCATAAAAATCGGCCAAGACGTTTCAGAGGAGTAAGGTAACTAACATTGTGACACGAGAATTTTATATATAAGATAATATCCCAAGACAATTTACACAGCGCTATCTAGTACCAAGCAGCGCTTGTACTAGACAACAAATATAAATACATACATACATTTTTTGTAAATACTTACATAATCACCATCATAGTGGTCTGGTAGTTTAGTATACAGAAGTCTGTCACAGATTCGATGCCACCATAGTATAAAAAAAGCACTCAGACCGATACAAATAATCATATTTATGAATACAAATGTTTTGTGACGTGCGATCAATCAAATCCGCGGTAGGAAGCTAGTCAGGCTAAACTGCTACACTACCGAGGCCGTCGAATATCAAAACTAAAAAATTATCCGACGGGAGTATGTAACATATCACGGGATATATGTAATGTATCAATATTTCGATTTAAAGCTAAAATTTTGTAATTTATTTACTTACCAGCATCAAATATAGCTTCATAAGCCTTCTCGAGTATGACTCTGCACATTGGGTCCATCGTGTGAGCCTGCTTGTAGGTAATGTTGAAGAAAGAGGCGTCAAATTTTTCCACATTATTGATTTTGCCGATACGATGTGGAATTTCAGGATGCTCATGAACCCATCGTCGATTATCAGACGTCACTAAGTCCACCTGGTAAATTAATTATATTTTTAGCGTATAATCCGAAATAATTTCAGGTCAATTCACACAGTGCCATCTAGACCCAAGTTAAGCTAGCTAAAGCTTGTGTTATGGGTACTAGAAAATTGATACAAATACATAGATATTTTTTATTCGTAAATACATACATATTATACATAAAAAACACCCAGATCGACAAAAATAATCAAAATCAGGAATACCAATGTTTGTGCCGTGCGAGGAATCGAACCCACGACCATCAGAAGTTACCAAACGTAACGTCAAAATAGATGCTAACAAGATGTTAGCGCAAAATGTTAGGAATTTCATGAACGGAGCTCACTAATGTCTATATTGGAACAAGCCGTCTCTCTGCTGTGTACATCCAGGGTCTGCTAACTTTGTTCGGTCGCGTGGCCCGCCGGGAACTAAATAATTTGGGTACTTTAGAACAACCCGTCGAACAAATCTATACTTTGTGCTTCCAGCTTCTGCTAACTTTATTCGGTCACGAGGCGAATCGGAATCAAATAATTTGGTGAAATGTATAATGGTAGGCCACGTGGACTAGAGAAGGGGCAGAGGCAGGACCTGCACAATGGACTGATTCCATTCGAGATGCCGTAAAGTGAAATATACAGTTATGGTTATCCAAGTATCAAGTAGAGGCATCTCTGCCTGGAGAGTATTGTTTGGAAGAAGCATTCCTGGTGTCAATGAGCCTTGAGCAATCCACTAAAGATACCTGGAGAATATTGTATGGAGAAGCATTCCTGGTGTCATTGAGCCTTGAGCAATCCACTAAAGATACCTGGAGAATATTGTATGGAGAAGCATTCCTGGTGTCAATGAGCCTTGAGCAATCCACTAAAGATACCTGGAGAATATTGTATGGAGAAGCATTCCTGGTGTCAATGAGCCTTGAGCAATCCACTAAAGATACATGGAGAATATTGTATGGAGAAGCATTCCTGGTGTCGAATGTGAGTCGATTCATGACTAATGATCATTAGATCATGAGTCTTGAAGAATCGACTAAGAAGAAGAATTGTAGTATATAGTAGAACTGTTAGTGCATCCACCTGCGGTAGCAAAATGCGTGAAGTACCAGTGAAAGATAACGGACTGTGGATGAACTTAAGTAATGTTTGTCGGTCAAACTGCGTATTATTTAATAATATATACTCGATATTGATTCAATTACCTTATTGAAGAGATTCTCCTGAAGATGAACCACCGAGTCGGAGTTTGGGAAGCTGCCAGAAATACCAGTTATGTAAATCTCCTCACCCGGAGACGGGTGTGATGCCTTGTACCCTGATATTATCCTGCTCTCTAAATTTGTAGATGCCATCTAAAAGATTAGGGGCAGGTACTATCAGTAATAGAATTCTCATAGAAATTAGAATAGAAATTAGAGCACTAGGTCTAATTTCTAGCAATAAACTAGCCCAAGGAGCCATGTCAACAGTTGACCTCCGACCACCCTGTCTGGAAAAACTGTCGTGAAGGCACATTATTGTTACCATCAAAATATAGAAGATAATTGCACAGTTCCTTATGATCGATTAACACTTAAACTGCAGTGACTGAATAAAATACACCATCGAAATATCAACTTAAGCATTTTACACTTAACGTCAAATATATAATAGGATTTTCTTTAAATTTACTCAATGCATTTTATTATTAAGCATTTGAATCAACTTACTATATGAAGTAATAAAATTTACTTACATTAAATTTTCGAATACCAAATTATTGATTATTTTTGCATGAACCGAACAATTAACCTGGCCTGTTTACACGCAAATGTATAATACGTGCTTATTCAAGTAGACTTGTATTTATAACGCTAATTTTATGATAAATACTCGAAAACAATGTACTAATTTAGTGGTTGTTCTTTTTTGTGATGTTCATTTTACCACTTTTTTTAATGGTTTACAACTTTGTCTTGAATTTCGCGAGAGGAAATTTGGTACCAAAGAAACATACACCAAAAGAAAAAAATATATTTCTGACTGACTTTCCGGTGAAGGAAACACCGATAACAAAATAAAAAAAATAATCTGAGAGATGGAGTCGACCCTATCGCAATCTCTCAGATTTTTTTTTAACCCCTGCTACATTGGATTCAAATATGGTCAGAAAAATGTGGACATGTCAATGTTGCTTTCACCGGAGTGTCGAAAATTGTCAACGCCTTCGACTACACCTTCTGGTGTTATAGTCGTAACGATATGATTGTTGCATCTCATTTTATCACATTACGAATATATCGTAAACCTATTACAATACTGGCTTAACTCAAAAATTACAAATTTTGGAAAGTCCATTTTGTAACTGTGGTATTAAAATCTAATTTCAAAAATTTTAAATTACTGAATTACACCAGTATTGTAGATAGATATGCGATATGACGATTTACAAGTTAGCACGCGAATTACACATCAAAATTATATCGAGTATAATTTCGTTTACGTAACTGTAATGACATTCTGACCATCCACCTGATGGTAAGTGGTAGCCGTCGCCATACATGAACAGCACCACAGTTATTACATCGTCATGTGACACCCATAGTACTTCTTATTTGTTTCTACAGATTAAACACGCCTCGAGTTAACTTGAGTTGAAATTTAGGTAACTTGGAATTGAATTCGAGTTACACAACTCGACTTAGCAGAAAAAGAGGGAGTGTATTGATTTGTTACAAATTACTTTTTTAGATAGTAGAACTTAATTGTCCAACATTCAACTCTCTGTTAGGACAATTATCATTGCTAAAATTCATTTCGTGATAACATAACTAAACCTCAATTGTAAATTTTTCCATATTGTGACATTTGTGAACGGTGAATATAGTTTGATATGATCGGAAAACTTCGTGTCAACATCGTTACCATTCGGTTATTAAAATGGCGTCCAATTGAAACGAGAACCGAATTTACGACAGCCAGGTTTGAAACCACTAGCGGTGCCCTCAGACTAAAGTCGTACCCGTCAGGCAGGAGTTGGCCTTCAGGCGCCCCATAAGTCCTTCCGCGGGTTCGGAGTGCCATCTATACTAGCCTATCGTAGAAGCTGTGAAGGCCAGATGCATTAGAATAGTTAAAAAAAAGAACTATTTATTTACACTCTCGCTCTTTTGCTTGATTCGTTCATTTGCCAGCTCAAACATGAGTTAGGGAGAATTCAACTCGAGTTAACTGGAACTTCACCACTCGCTTAGCAAATTAACTCGAGCTCACACATCCCTATTTGTTACCGTTTCTGAGGACTAAGAGCGGATGGCTCTTTGAAGTTTGGAATACTTATGTTAGAGCACGCTAGATGGCACAAACTTCATAATGTATTTGGGGACATTTTATGCATCTCATGTAAATGCACATAGTGTATTTTTATCCCAACATAATAAAAAAGGGTGAAAGTTCTTGAACATAAAATCGCTAATAAAAATATTTTTTTAGTATTAATAATAAAAAATGTTTTAATATAATCGCACCCTGTTGATAAATTATTTACATAAAAATATATACGTATTAGTCCCATACTGTTTTGGTTGCCGATATTAAATTACTTTACATACATAAGAATATTTACAGGTACATTGACACGAAAATATTCACGAATGTCGGAATGTCGATAAACGTGGAGAAAATAATCAAATAATCAACCTGAAGGTCTGCCAGACATAGAGAATACGTAACATTGATTGCAGAGTAACACGCAAGTTTCTGTATCATTCTTCTTGTGACGAGTCTACGTTACCATTGAAAGGTAGAATAAAAAAATATGGTACTATTCAGAAAGTTAATAATTAACTTTTTTTTTTGTGGATGATAATGGGATGGTGTTCCTATTATGCGCTAACGGTTTACGCTAATACTAAAGATGAGCATGAGGTCAGGTCAGTTAGCCCATCGTGACAAATTGGTAATCGACCGGGGGGGGGGGGATATGAGACATTGCTAATAATGGGAACATTTAACAATTTTAATGGGACCATTAATACCAATTTTAGTCGACCTCCACGCGGTCACTTCTGGAAACCATCGTGATAAATTCCTAGTGAATAGGTCACGATGGGCTAATAGACCTGACCTCACATTTATTTATCCTCCACTGGTGCCCCGTCAGCGTAAATCGTTAGTGCAGGCGGGTGCACCATTCCATTATCATCTACAACCAAAAAAATATAATCAAAGATTTTCCCCCCAATAAGGAAAAATATTTTATTCAGTGCACTGAATACCAATTTTAGTCGACCTTATATTATTTACTTCTGGATTATACCATCGTGATAAATTTAGTGAATAGGTGATGGACTTATATTTATTTTTCTTTATATAAAAAATACAATATAAACAACAAACGAAAAAAAAAGAGCAAATAAAATGTACATATAATTAAACTTAATTTACCATAATTATTTATATTTATCATCTACTGTTTTTTAATATTGAATTAACCGTTTTTTACTACATGCATATGAAAAAATATAATCATTTTTTAAAGATTTTATATACATGAATAGAATCACGGACGTCAATTCATCATGTAACACCAAACAGACTTTGTTTCCCTTTACCCAAGTATCTCTAAGTGTACTTTAGCTTTACACCCGCTTACCCTGCCACTCGCGCTGCCAGTCCTTGGACTCGCGCACGAAAAACCGACAATCGAGTGAGCGCCGGACAGCGCAGGTGACAGCGCCAATGGCATGGGAAATATCGTGTTTACACTCTGGTGCAGTTCACTTCCGTGCTCACTTCCCTGCCCTCTCGGGCTGAGTGTAAATAGGGCTTTAAAAGCAAATCAATATACTGAAAGATTGGACAATGATTAGTTCATTATTTACTCTCTGTTCTTATTTCCGAAGTATATATACGTAAGGATTCTGAACGAGTGGTAGAATATTTTTATTTCTAATATTATTTGTATAAAACAAATAAAAAGTGATATATATTATTTATTTATATTTATCTATACATTTAAATAAAATTGGAGTGTCTGTTTTTTAATATTGAATTAACCGTTTTTTACTACATGCATATGAGTATAAGTACAGTTACAGACAACAAAATAACATTTTTTACAATTTTTGTATGTCTGTCTGTTCGTTCCGACTAATCTCTGAAATAACTGGACCGATTTTGACGGGACTTTTTTTGGCAGGTAGCTGATGTAATAAGGTTACTCGTTATTACAACAGCTACTTTTATTTTAGAGAAATAAAGTTATATTCCACGCGGACGAAGTCGCGGGAACAGCTAGTATATTATATAAATATTAACGAGCGGAGTGCACAGTGACCTTAGAGATCAGTTTTGCACTTTATGTAACGACAATCCTCCAAAATGGCTTGACCGATCGAGACCAAAATTTCATCGAAGATCGACCTTCGGGCGTCCATCGTTTACTACTAACCTAGTAGTGTTTATTGTCAGTTATACGCTATCTCTATATATTTCTACCTAAAGGTTAGCTGTTAGAGAATACCATATGGAATTAAGCTCGCCTTTAGTACACGTGAAATTGTGCAATAAAGAATAAAAAAAATCGCTAATGTTTGTATGTATGCATGGATAATAATATCATGTAATTTATTTTCAAATATTCAATGGCATTGTTTGCTAATTGTATTGTAATTTACCATCCATGTTTGCAGACGATCAGCATACTTGTATCCATACCATAATTACCTTGCCTTAACTTTACCGTGACTTAGTCACGAATAAACAGCTGAACGGATCCTTACGAAGTTTGCGCGAAGACAGTATTACAAGTCGGATATAAGCTATCTCAAAAACAGTAGACAAAGTTGCAACTAGTTTTTCTGTTTCTGATGCAATAAAATAAATTGTTTAAAATATTGATAGCAATGTAGCAAATTGTATATAAATATGACAACCTCAGTTGTCAAGGGGTATAGCTTACTACTTTACGTCCGATGGTCGCGGTTTCGATTCCTCGCATGGTATAAACATTTGTATTTACGAGTATCATTATTTGTATCGGTCTGGTTGTTTTCTATTTATAATATGTATTTATACTCGTATAAAAACGAAAATTCTATGTATAATATCTGTTGTTGTTGTACCCTTAATACAAGCTCTTCCTACCTTGTGTCAAGATGGCGCTGTGTGAATTATCCTGAGATATTATGAAAAAATGGACCCTAATGCTACAAAGACTTTACTACCTTATTGTCTTGATATACAGATTACGACTGTACCACAGAATGGTATAGAATAGAAAATCATTTATTCAAATGAATTTAAATTGAAGCACTTTTGTCTAGTCATTACATTTTTTTTAATCTACCACTCATAGGCGATACTACTGATAGCGTTCTGTAGAGTCGAAACTATTTGGTAATCAATCAATTTAGTTGGATTGAGATATTGCATTTTTGCAAATACCGGCCCAACAAAACCAGCTAACCTCAGTTGCTAATCTGATAAATTGGCCTGACCCAACGGATCTAGTGAAAAACGTAGCTAGTGTAAACTCAAACTGAAATATCTGCATTCATGTACTCTTTATAGACTTCATTTTAACCTCATTAATAAATACTAATGTCATAAATTTGAAAGTGTCTACCTGTTCGTTATTATTTAACTGTTCGTTATGATTTGATTCGTTAAAAAATATACCTACTAATTTGATGCCCTAAAGACAATTCATAATATCTTCAGCGCCATCTGTGTTGGCGTAGTGTTAACACTTTCACTTGAATTACCTGTGGGTATAGTTCAATATGTGAACTAATGAAGAGCTACTTTCTGCGCTGTGATTGGT